CTTTGGGGAGGGCATCGGTCAACAGCATGATATCTGGCTTACAGTAAAAAATAAGCATACACAAATCATTTCTTTTACTAAAGACCTGGTCTGCATTGGTGCACAGCACCTTCAGACCTTGCCTACCACTGCACTGAAGAGCATTATGTAGTCACTGTGAACCTGTGGAGCCAGCACCAGCCTGAGCCTGAGTATGTTGTTCGATGGACGCATCCTGAGCGACTGAGGTCGCTGTGCTGCTATCAGCGCTGTCAGGGCCCCTAGAACAACTAGGACCCTGAGTGAGGTGACCCACGATAACCCCACCAGCAGGGTCAAATAAAGAGGGGCTTCGTGCTTGAGTGCCCCTGGAGCTGTCACTTGGGCTTGTACTTGGTCCAGAGGCAAGCAAGGAATAACCATGCTGGTACCTCTGGGACCATTGGCTGGGCATGACTCAGTTCATGAACTGTTTGAAAAATTTGATTCAGGTCATGACCCAAGCCAGCGTGTTTCCTAGTGAGCAGGTGCAGCCTATAACTCGCACCAATTTGATTGACCCATGAGCAGATTCACGATTCAGCTTGAGTCGAAGACAGTTCTGGCTAGCATGTTTATATGTGTAAAATCCTGCATTTTGGCAGTGGTTGCCTGGTCATGGTGATCATATCACGCAAACTGGCATTATTTTGGCATGTCGCTTGCGCTCTGGAAGAATATTTGGTATATCGTGTCTGATATTTCAAGCAGATGTGAGTTGAGTCATATATTCACATATTGTGACATTTACGATAATTGATTTTGCAGCTTCCATGAGTCATGAGTCAAGTGCTTCAATGTAATATAGTCTGAACTTAGTCAAATGAAAAATGGAACAACTGAGTCACGAGCTGAATCAGATTCCACAATCCGTGAGCCAGTCCGGAACTGACTTAAGACATTCGGGCCAAACCCGAGTCTGATGCTGACCACGTCTCGGGACTAGTATATTCCATTGTTTGCACTACCCGGATGACATCTTTCCCAAGGCCCTGTAGTCCAGGATATATCAATATCATACTCAGCCGGTACATAACACCCTTCCGTAAATTACGCGCAAGACTTCCTTCAGGCACGTTTCCTAACCACCTCCACCATGCTCCCCACTGACCACCAACCCGACCGACCTTGCCGCGGCCTAGGAGCAACTCTCATTCAAATGGGAATTGGTATCCCGAAATGGTGAATGTTTTCTACTCCCATCGAACGACTAAAGACATTCACGACGCTCACCTCTAAACAGCCTCATTTCCTCTGTCATGCCCTGGGTTACCGGGCTGCTCTGTTTCGTAGGGTGTGTCATCGAGGTGGCTCATCTTTTGCAATCAGCTGTGACAAAGTTTTTCCTTGGCACACGGATTAATGACAAACTTTCGGGTCTGTCGCACCGCACCAATGTTAATATTCGTGGGTCGATAGCGGTTTTACTTTGACAGGCCAAGAAAACCTATTCGATGCTAGCGCCACCTATTTTGCGCACTGGAATCATCATCCAACACGCTTCAAAGCCGCCGCTTTCCATTCTATTGGTACTTGGTGGATTAAGTACGAAATAGACGTCATGAAAAGCACTAGCAAAGCATTGCCAAACAGCATTTAAGGTGACTTTTTAGTAAGAAACATTAATTTTTGGTAAAACCCAAAGCTGTGCAGTTATGCGAATTCCCTAGCAGACCAGGTTAGGCTCAAGTTTGTTATTGCTAACGCATCATTGTGATGCTGATTTGCAATTTATGTGCTTTTTGGCGTGGGAGATATGGGTTTATTAGTTTAATTTTGCTGGTACTGAAACATTTCTTTCGAACAATTGCTTGCATAAGCATGCCGAAGGCCAACCGGTTGCGCAGAAAACATTTTGTGATAGGCCACCTGGTTCCACTACCCCACCACCAACTACCGACAACGGGAAAGCCTTGAGCTACATTAGGTGGTTGAGCGAATCGAAGAGGAATCTCACTAATACCATCTTCAAGACCGCGACGGTAGAAATCAGGCAAATGTGGACCAACGAAGCGATCCCTGTTCATGGTCTAAAATACGTGAAAAAGTTGATCGAGAGGGACCGAAATAGTCCCAACAGAGCTATCAAAAAGAAATCGAAGAAAGAGAGTGACACAGTGACGCGGCCACCTCGAAATTCAACAAGCTTCTCCATGTCGCGAAATGCAAGTGCAAACTTCAGTGCAGCTTTCCATGCCCGGTGGTCTGCACAGTGCATCAAGAGGAGGTTGTCATGAAGGGCCACTGCAGGCACCGGAAGCTTACCCCCGGGGTCATATGGCCGGGATACGATTGCGACAAGGGAGGCTCGCGAGGTGCAGAGGATGGCCAGACAACTACCGGGGTGTCGTGGCTCGGACGCCAGTGAGGTGGTGTCTGCTGCTGGGCCTGAGTCGCCTTTCCCGCCGGCTGCTGAGCCCTCGCCACCTGCTGAGCCAGCGCTGGCTGCTAGTGCTGCCCCCGAGCCTGTTCCGGGACCAAGTGGTCTTAGCACTGGTGAATCAGCCGAGAGCACGGATTCTTATACGTTTCCGTACATGGTAGAAGGTGGCGACGACACCGATTGTTTGTTCCGGTTGAGACCACTGCCGCTGTAGATTATGGTGTTAACGATCTGACTAACACCGCTCTAGCGGTTGACAGCTACGATGGCTTGAACCAGGCCGCTGCTGCTATAATCAACGCTTTTCAACATGACAGCAGACACGGACTGGCTACTTGAAATCAAATATCGTAGATCATAAGAAGATCTGCTGCGCAAGAGACAGAGCGAGAAAGGAGACGGTTCGTTAAGATTTTGAAGCAATCCATGCGTCAGGTTTGACCATCTTCTACTCCGACGGCCGTGAAGGCAGCAACTACATGAGCCGCACGGAGCCAGACGAATGCCGTCGAAAAACACGTGGTTGTCATCACTGAGCCAGGCAACCGCCACGCGACTCATTTTACGTCCGAGTTCGGCCGCGCCCTGCACTTGTTCAATGGGCTACACTCCGTGAGCCCGCAGTGCGATGGTGCATCAATGTGCTTGGCTGCGATGGCACGGCCGTCAACACCGAAACGATAGGCGACGTGTGTCCGACTGTTTGAGCTGGCCACCGAGTCGCCCGCACGCTGGTTCACCTACCAGCTGCACGGCAACAAGCTGAACCTCCTCCGTCTGCTGCTGAGCCTGGATGACAGGACCACGGGCTCGAAACTTTCTGGGCCCATCGGCAAGACCTGTGCTGGAGAGGTCTAAGAGAGGGACGTTGTGGCATTTAAGCCTAGGTCGGGGTCCTTGCCAAACCTGCCGGTCGAACTGATTCAGCAGCTGAGCACCAACCAGCAGCTGCTGTAACTTCTGGCCTCCGACGTTCAAAACAGCTCTGTCTGAAATGTGGCGGCCCAGCGGCAAATCGGACCATCGAACCATGCCAGGTGAATATGAAAACGCATCATCCAATTTATACCGATGAGGTTTTAAAGTTCATCGAGTATCAATTGAGATTTCGTGCGCTCACTGTTGAGCAATCTAATGCTCAGTTCGTAGCAAATTGTTCTAATATATTCGCTTTTGTTTTCAGATGGTTGATAATGGCCGCTCGCCTGCTCCTAGTTCACATCTCTACCGAGACCTCCAGCAGCGCTCCCAAGGACCTCGTCCAGTGAGTGGTCGGCCACTACGTGCCGGTATAGTCCGCCATCCGGCAAAACAGCGGCTGCGACTTTGGCTTACGTAACTTGTTCCGAAGCATCGCGGTGCTCCGGGACCTGCCGCAGCACACATAGTCCTCCAGCGTTGCGGGTACTGGGTCCGTGCGGGAACGGCTGCTGCCGGACATGGTATGGGATGAAAACCGCATGGTCCGCAAACAGGTGGTTCTGATCGTAGCGCCGCTCGTGGACAGTGAACCGAGGGTCTTCTTCACGCCAGGGTCTTCGCCATCTCAGCGGTGAACCTCGAGGCCGTGAGGTACACCGAACTGATTCCCTGGCACGGACCAGTCACACAGCCTCTATTGCGAGACCTCAGCGACTGCGTGCTGCGGAACAAAGGGCAGGCACCATTGACCATCTCTCCTATCTGGTTCACACTAGGAATGCAACGCAGAGCCGCACTGCCGAGGACGTCTGCGGCTGGAACTGGAACTTCTGCAATACGTGGAGCCCAGCTGCGACAGTATTTCTGCTACTGTGCGATCTCTGCCAACACGCGTTTTGGGTATCCAGTCTGTGAGTAGTTGCTGTTTGGGCCGGTGCGTCGAATACACATGCTCGGCAAAAAGCAAGATGTGCATGGGGTCACCTTACCGCATCCCCACCTCTACGTTCGTGGTAGAGGCTGCAGAGCTTGCTGTATGTATAAAGTTGTACACCAGACAATATATTTTGAGTCATATGCTATGCATTGTTTCATTTGCATCGCGTTAGTTGTCTTAGGGAAGTGAAATTATAAAGCAATACAAACCAGCATGCTCGTACGAGTTCATACTCCACAGCACATAAAGTTTCCGCCAAATGCCAATAAATCTGGCAATGTCTGATCCGCATATTAGACCTTGGACGGGGACATTCTCGTATAACGGCTTAAATAGCGCTCGGTAGCAACATTTTTATACACAAAGGCATTTTGTGTCGCTTGCCGCCCACGGCTTGGTGTTACCTGCGGCGACGGATGCCGCCCAGCGTCGGGCGACTGCAACACCGGTCGTGGGCTTATGGCGATATTTTGATCGACCCCGCGCCTCACGAATTTAAGTTGTTGGGAAGAACTTTTGCTATGCTATGTGCTTTTGGACTCCTGCGCCAAAGAATTTCTTCGTCTCACTTGGTTTTGTTACCGATGACACACACTACTGTTTAGCATCTATACATATCAACTTTGTCGATTTTTGTGCAAATCAGTGCTGAGCACCGCCCCCCTCTTAGAAAGAATTCGTACTAAATACTATCGAGGATCTGTTGTGCAAACGCATGTAGAGGCATTGGGACGACAACGGCTGAGTTTGGTATTGCGGGGCGTCACGATCGCCTCCAGCGTGGTGTACAGGAGCAGGAGCTGACGGACGTGTGGTGTTCCCAAGGACTTTTCGGAGTCCTGCGGCGTGTTCCAAGCCAAGCGGCGAACACTCGTAGCACACTTCGAATGAAAAGGTGGGGATAACTGTCGTGCCTGGTGGCGAATTAAGCTTTCCGAAGCTCTTTTCTTGAGCCTTCGAAAGGGAGGCCCACGTGGTGGCCAGTGCCAGGATGAAAACAATCATTCACGGTCCTGGACGCATTCGAGACATTGGTGAGCACACGCCTGTGCGCGAATCTGTGATCTGGCTCCATCTCCAGAACTTTTGCTTGGAAATGTGTCATCCATATGTTTGCCTGAATGTGCCTTCATAACATCATACCTCCTTGAAACATTCACTCTCGTTGTGCTGGCAGTTGCCTGAAAATACTTCTTTTATACTTTGGTTTGCTCATTTTTTTCACCCCACCCCATATTGTTGACTCATCACTGCTTATGTTGTTAGCACTCACAGAATTCAGTGGATGGTTCCTTCTCTCTATGCTGTCTGAGCCCTGGACTTGTATGTTATGACTGGCATCTTACAGTCACAGAGCTAAAAAATCAAAGGTTTGTCTGAGGCTTGTAGTTGCTACAAAATTACCAAACAGTGGCATTCATCTAAAACAAAAGAGAAGTGGCAATGTGAGTGCTTATGCTAGCATGGGAACAGTAGTGAAGCAATACACACCAGTAAACAGTCAGTGGCACTGCATGGGCATATAACATCCCACATATCTGAAAAATGGTATGCAGTTATGTGGTCAGGTGCTGAAGGCACATACACTGGTGAACAAGTGATACAGCAGTCTGTCTTAACCCTAATAGTAAAATGTGTGTAAAGGCATTGTGTAATGTAAACAGTTATGTTTTGAAGGCCTATGTGAAGATTAATTAATATTGTGGTGCGTCCTAAAGTAGAAGTCTAGATAAAGACGGTGTTCTGAAAGCTGTACAAAGTTAGTAAATACCGTAAACTTGTAGCATGTCTTCAAAACTAATGTTATGGGATAAATGATTAATTTGTATTTTGTTTGGCCTTGTGTCCTGGCTCCACTGTTATTGACTTGGCAACAACTGTGATGCATATTTCTGATCATGGTTCAACATTTTAGTAGGTCTGCTAACCATCTCAGTATGAGGTTGATTGGTGGTGCAGCTTTTAAGGAGACAAATGCTTTTAATTACTGTTTATTTACAGTTAGGATATGCCATCAAATTATCTATGTTTTCACTGGCCCAACTTGAAATTTTAGACCATGATGTGACATTGGGGTTTGTCCAGTCAAATAATTTGTAAGGTGACATATTGAGAAATGCAAGTAATTAGTATCAAAATTAGCACAAAATCTATTATTAGTATGATAATTGATAACATATGGGTGGAAGAATAGAACACATCTTCATAGCTTATAAAGATGTCTTGTTGTCCAGGAAATGCCATTTTTCTCTATTACAAACTCATTAAGACAACAGATGCCACAAACTACACACAAGACATCCCGGCATCTCTCGATGGTTGTGAGGGCTTGCTCAGCATGAGTGTAACTATCCAATACACATTGCAGTTGCAGACTGATTCAGCAAAGACTGTGAAGTTGAAATGGCTTCATCAACACGTCGTCCAGAGCATGCAGCTCCTCCTGAGATTTTTTATGATGAAAAGGAGGCCCGAAAATATTCGTCGAACTCCCGGATGATAGAGGTGCAGGAGCGCATGACGGAGCGAGCGCTGGAACTGCTGGCGCTACCGGAGGGCATACCGCATCTAGTGCTCGACCTCGGCTGCGGCTCAGGACTCAGCGGCGAAACGATCACCGAGGCCGGCCACGTCTGGGTCGGCTGCGACATCTCGCAAGCCATGCTGAACGTCTCCATAGAGCGCGAAGTGGAGGGCGACGTGCTGCTCAGCGACCTAGGCCAGGGCCTGCCCTTCCGAGCGGGCTCTTTCGATGGGGCGCTGAGCATATCAGCCCTGCAGTGGCTCTGCAACGCCGACAAGAAAGAGCACGTGCCGCGGAAGCGGCTGTACAAATTCTTCTCGTCTCTGTACGGCTGCCTGGGTCGGGGCGGCCGTGCCGTGTTCCAGTTCTACCCGGAGAGCTCGGCCCAGGTGGAGATGATCACGGCGCAGGCCATGAAGGCCGGCTTCACCGGCGGCCTGGTGGTCGACTACCCCAACAGCACCAAGGCCAAGAAGATGTTCCTGGTGCTGATGAGCGGCGGGCCGCAGCCGCTCCCGGAGGCCCTGGGCGACGGCGGCCAGGCCAGCGCGGTCGCTTACGCCAAGCGTGACCGGATGCGCCAGCTGCGCGGCAAGCCGCCGAAGAGCTCGCGCGACTGGGTGCGCGAGAAGAAGGAGCGCCGCCGCCGCCAGGGCAAGGAGGTGGCGAGGGACTCTAAGTACACGGGCCGGCGGCGGGCGGCCGGATTCTGAACTGGCACGCACCGGCCGGCGGCTGTGATGGGGACAGGGCAAGGGGTCGTACGCGCCTACTGGATCACTGCCCGGCCTCTCTTGCCCCCAGACGTGGTGCGAGAACTGGTTGTGACGGGTCGGGACACGCATGCTGGCGCTGACATAATCCCACTCGTCGATGGTATAACAAGGAAATAACATGTACGTGTTATTGTAACATATAAAAAGGGTTTCTGTCCATTTGGTGCGGCGTTATAAGGCGCCCGTGGCGTGGTGTGACCATTTGATGATATGCTGTGGTCGCGGTAAAGTCGTTTTTATTTATACGCGAGCCGTGTTTTGACCATCCGGGCCTTGCTGGACCTTGCCGAGCCAACGTCGCTGTGAGCCCGTGCCGAGATTGTGCTTGATTGAGGATTGAGGCCTGTCAAGTGGGTGTTTTTGGCCACGTCATGGTTGCTATTGTATCGCTCCAGGTCATGTCGAGCACAGCACGGATGACAATAGACGGTGCAGTGACCAGGAATGTGTGTGTGGTGTCGCTCGCTGTTAGTCAGCAGTACCTGGCCAAACTGTGCCAGTGCAATCGACTGCTCTGGCAGGATCGGAAGTACTGCTTGTTGTGGCCACGGAGGTCATAACTGTGTGCAGTAGTGACCGAACGAGTGGAACGCGCAGTCATAACTCCGTTCATTCTATCGAAACACTAGGGCTATGAATCCAAATCATCGTCTTTTTCTGTCCCATGATTACCACTTCGAATACAAAGCGTCAGCACTCACTCTCCCTCCTCCCACTACCAGATTCCACGACGGCATCCAGGAACTGCTTTAAGTTTTAACATTTTTATGGTAACTCTTTCACATTCAGTTCACATTTTCACAATTCTTCAGAAAGCTTTAGCACAACTTTTTCAATAATTTCTCTCTCGTCAGTCTTTATTTTGCTTGGAACAGTTGGCTTAAGCTTTATGACAGTTTGTGCTAGTTAATTGCAGTTGATGCATGGCTCAATTACATTTTCGTTTTCAACAGCATTTTTGGTAACATCCTAGTCAGCTACATCTTTCAGCGTTGACAATTACGCTGATATTGTACTCACTTTTCAGGTACATAATGTGCACCAGATTCAGATCAGCCGCTCTTGCTGCCTTGATTGGCCTTCTTGCCGTTGCCATTACATTTTTGAAACTTGACATGCTAGGTAAGTCTCTGGTTGGAACAATGATGAATAGGAATGGAATGATCCTGAACAATATATAGCGGGAAGGAAATATTTGTTTTTGCACTTGAGCAAGAAAGAAAATCCTGGAAGCTTGGCGTGATGCCGCACGCTGTTCATGCCTAGTGCGATTTGCCTACGGGTTCTCTGGACTACTGTAATCCATGGCGTTTCCTTGGGACGGCAGGGTAACCAGTAAAAGTCAAAATGAGTTGTTTAATGGGAGGGGGGAGGGAGGCATCAGCTTGAAACAGCTGCTATGCAAGAGGTCAACCTTCAATCAGCTGTTCAATGGGGACGGGCGGACATCAGCACCCTTTGTAGGATTTCCGGCACGCTGCCACCAGGCGGCAGCGGGGAGCAGGTGGTGGTCGGCGTCCTGTCGGCCCGTCACCACCGGGCGCAGCGTGACGCCGTGCGCGCCACCTGGTGGCCGCGCCTGCACGATGGCGGCGCCCGGGGCCTCTTCGTCGTGGGAGACACCGCTTGCGATCTGGCTGATTGGTGCAAACTGGACCCATATTCCTGTGAAGCCTGGGAGCCTGCTGATAATGGTACGTGTGTCCGTTCAGGATAGGTGGGCCGTTCATGCCGCGTATTCAGTTGAGCGGTGTGGGCGTGTCTAGAGACGCGAAGGCGAACGACGATTGCTTTTGTGACGCAACAGCAGTGTCGTGACGCTGATGGACGCCCCGAGCAGCCTCAACGGTCCCTCCACTCCACCGCACCGCCCCGCTGAGCCCCCCCCCTCCCCCTCCGCTCCACCGCACCGCCCCGCTGAGCCCCCCTCCCCTCCCCCCTCCGCTCCACCGCACCGCCCCGCTGAGCCCCCCCCCCCCCTCCGCTCCACTGTGCCGCCCCGCTCAGTCTTCCCTCCGCTCCACCGCACCGCCCCGCTGAGGCCCCTCCCCCTCCGCTCCACTGTGCCGCCCCGCTCAGTCTTCCCTCCGCTCCACCGCACCCGCCCCGCTGAGCCCCCCCCCCCCCCCTCCCCTCCGCTCCACCGCACCGCCCCGCTGAGCCCCCCCCCCCCTCCCTCCCCCCTCCGCTCCACCGCACCGCCCCGCTGAGCCCCCCCCCCCCCCCCCTCCGCTCCACTGTGCCGCCCTGCTCAGTCTTCCCTCCGCTCCACCGCACCGCCCCGCTGAGGCCCCTCCCCCTCCGCTCCACTGTGCCGCCCCGCTCAGTCTTCCCTCCGCTCCACCGCACCGCCCCGCTGAGCCCCCCCCCCCCCCCTCCGCTCCACTGCGCTGCCCCGCTCAGCTGTCTCTCCACTCGGCGGCAGCGACGTCCGGGGAGCAGTCGCTGGCACTGCAGCTCGGCCAGGCCCTGCTGCCAGCCGGCCGCCGGGCTCGCCTTCACCGTGCTGCACCCGGTGGTGGTGCGCCGCGTGGCGGTGGCGTCCGCCGCCGCCGCCGGTGCCGTGCTCCTGGAGACGTCTGACGGGCGCCGGCTGTCCGCCGCTGCGCCGCCGCCAGCCGCTGGCGCCGCGCTGGAAGCGCACCTGCTGCCGGCTGGCTTCGAGGGCGTGCTGCGTCTGGAGGAGCCGGCCCGGCTGGGTCGCTGCCGCCACTCGAAGTCACCGGTACCGGGCCTGCTGCACGTCACCGCCCTGCTGACGACCGACGGCCGGCTGGTGAAGCTCGGCCACGAGCCGCTCTGCTGTCCGCTTCAGCTCGTCTTCACCGTCCACGGTACAAGGACGCGCGGCTGGCCGCTGCCCCCTCTGCTGGGTCCTCACTGTTGCTGCAACACCAAGCGTTTTGGAACAACGTTCAGGGCAAATGTCACCAGGGGACAGGGGACAGGACAGGGGACTAGTCTGATGGCGTTAGCAACCAACCCATCCAATCCAGGATGGAGGGCCCTAACACGTACCAGTCATTGCGACGCTCGGCCAAGAGCATGGTGCTCTGTCTAACAGCGTTGTCCGGGTGCCGATTCGCCTCTGCTAATTTGGTGACCTTGCTGACCGACCGCAGAACCGGCGCGGCTGGCAGAGCTGTTAGAGGGCCGACCGGCGAGCTGCCACCGGGACGACGGTGGCGCCGCCCAGCGGCGCTAGCGGAGGAGGCGGCCGAGCACGGCGACCTGCTCCTGCTGCCCGGCATCGACGTGTACCGCCGCCTGCCCGACAAACTGCTCGGCTTCTTCTCCTGGTGAGTCCCGCACCTCGGGCCGACCGCCCATGGCTAACCGATGGCGAGTGTGTGGCGTTTGGAACACACATGATAGAGACGAACCAGAAGGAACGCTGGCGTGTATGGTATGTTGCGTCCTGTCTTTGCTTGGCAGGGTCTCCACACACAGCTCTGAACACACATGATGGAGGCGAACCAGAAGGAACGCTGGCGTGTATGGTATGTTGCGTCTTGTCTTCGCTTGGCAGGGTCTCCACACACAGCTCTGCTGACTGGGTCATCAAATGTGACGACGACGTAATCCTAGACCTGCCGCGCATACTGCAGAACATTCCAAAACGCACCGGCAGTGACATCTGGTGGGGAAACTTCAGGTGTGTTATCTGTCTCGATATGTCGGAGTTCAAATGCTTCCAAAGCTGCGAGGTGCATAGGGTGCTGTCAATGGCTTATTTGCTTATCTTAGGTGACTATCTTTTTGTCGATGTATTATCCGGTTGTGCTTATTCAGCGCATTACTCAACAACGTCGTCGAGCAGCGTTGCCGGCAAAAGTAACACATGCCAGTCCTGAACAAACCACGGCGTGAAAGTGACTCTCAGGCGGCTGACCGTCGCAGGTACAACTGGCCAGCGAACCGGTACGGCAAGTGGGCCGAGTACGTGTACCAGGCGGAGGTGTATCCGCCGTTCGCGTGCGGCACGGCCAGCCTGCTCTCGATGGACGCGGTGCGCCGGCTGGCCGCCAGTGCTCAACATCTAACCAGGTGGGGCGCCGCTCGGGGCGATGTCCGAGCGTGCCGGGCCTAACCATGCTTAACCAGCACCTCCTGGTGCGCTGAAATTCGAATGAAAGTTATTTTCACATACTAGCTCAAAGTGTACGCTCAGGATCCAAGACGTCGCTGTGTGCCTGTATCCTGAGACTCGAGCGTCAGCATACCCGCCGGGCCATCGGCAGGTTCCAGGGCGGGGACACGTTACTGGGTGTCTGGATCCCGAGACTCGGGCGTCAGCATACCCGCTCGGCCATCGGCAGGTTCCAGGGCGAGGACACGCCGCTGGGTATCTGGATCCCGAGACTCGGGCGTCAGCATACCCGCTCGGCCATCGGCAAGTTCCAGGGCGAGGACACGGTACTGGGTGTCTGGATCCTGAGGCTCGGGCGTCACCATACCCGCCCGGTCATCGGCAGGTTCCAGGGCGAGGGCACGTTACTGGGTGTCTGGATCCTGAGGCTCGGGCATCACCATACCCGCTCGGCCATCGGCCGATCCCAGGGCGAGGACACGGTTCTGGGTGTCTGGATCCCGAGACTCGGGCGTCAGCATACCCGCTCGGCCATCGGCAGGTTCCAGGGCGAGGACACGCCGCTGGGTATCTGGATCCCGAGACTCGGACGTCAGCATACCCGCCCGGCCATCAGCAAGTTCCAGGGCGAGGACACGGTACTGGGTGTCTGGATACCGAGACTCGGACGTCAGCATACCCGCCCGGCCATCGGCAGGCTCCAGGGCGAGGACACGTCGCTGGGTGTCTGGATCCTGAGACTCGGGCGTCACCATACCCGCTCGGTCATAGGCAATTTCCAGGGCGAGGGCACGTTACTGGGTGTCTGGATCCTGAGGCTCGGGCATCACCATACCCGCTCGGCCATCGGCAGGTTCCAGGGCGAGGACACGGTACTGGGTGTCTTGATCCCAAGACTCGGGCATCACCATACCCGCCCGGCCATCGGCAGGTTCCAGGGCGAGGACACGGTACTGGGTGTCTGGATCCTGAGGCTCGGGCATCACCATACCCGCTCGGCCATCGGCAGGTTCCAGGGCGAGGACGCGGTACTGGGTGTCTGGATCCTGATACTCGGACGTCAGCGTACCCGCCCGGCCACCGGCAGGTTCCAGGGCGAGGACACGTCGCTGGGCATCTGGCTGTCGGGCCGGTCCGTGCGCCGCGTGCCCGACGCCGACTGGTGGTGTGGCCGGCCGGCCGGCTACAGCCGTGGCCAGCTGGACCCGGCGGCCCTGCGGCGAACCTGGCGCTGCCTGCGCCGCACCGGTCGGCTCGAGCTGTGCGCCGACGCGTGAGAGGGTGCCAGCCAGGCGCCGGTCAGGTCAGGCTGGTGATGCAGGCGGCAGGGGCGTGCTTGAACGTGTTAGTCGCTGATGTTTTGTTGATAAGTCACGATTTTTTACCCTTGCCATTGTACGTACTTGCCCACAGCAACATGTGGCAGGCGGATAAGAACGTGATGATGGCTGGGATCCCCTTATAACTTGATAAGGGCAGGAGTTTCCGGCGTCTTTCGGGCATCTATAGTCAAATTTGTGTCCAATGTTTGTTGTGATATCGTGCATATGATCCAGCAAAACCGTAGAAATATCGCCCACTCATCTCTAACAGCCTGGACGTGGATCCCGGACCAAGGGCTTCATTGACGCTGGTATATGTTGCATGTTGCCGCAAGCTTTTTGACTGTAAAGTATTGTTTCATGCCCTCACTTAAGATGGTGCACTCGTTCTGCTGTGACTTGCAGTGGTTAGTGCAGCACGCCTGACAATAAATCGTGATTACAGAGCGGCGCCGCTGCAGCGACATCTGCTGTCCCCCGGCGGAGGGTTTGTCATCATGACGTGCTCAGTACGATTGAGGTGGGTTCGTGTGGCGGCGCTAGCTCTTGTAGCACTGTACGCGGACATTCCGGTTACTATGCGCCCTATGGACACGCACTCGGTTTACAGCATTTGTAGTAGCGTCTGGTTACGATAATCTGAATGCGTGGTCGCTGATGGTTCCGAGTATTTCGTCATGGCTTCATCACCACGCGATGTTCTGATAGGCATCTCCAGCAATGCTACAGTCAAGGGAGTGACGGGGACAGAACAGTGATTTTGACGGCTAGCGCCAGGTTCCACCGTTGCCAGACGCCGGGCCGTACCCCGGCCGGAGGTCAACCCGAGCTAAGCCCGCTGGCGTCTGCTGGGGCCACTGGAGCGGAACTGCTCCAGTGGCGTCTCCGGAGGGAGCCGCACCTGGAGAGCAAGCACGTAACGCAAGCCGGCTCAAAGCGGGGAAGATGGGGCCGGTCACAGAAGTCAAGTGCAATACATAATTGAGCAATAAACAGTTGCGCATCATCTTCGAATATATCACATCGAATGCTGCGTTGCTTTTTTCAGAATGAACGGTGCGTGAAATCATTATCTGGAGGCTAATTCAGTGCAAACTATTTTTCGGACGACATGTATTTGCTTGCCCACGGCGATACGCAAAAAACTCGATTTTCACCTCCAATACTAAAAACAAAACGGCGACGCCGACTTAAATCGATGTCGAAAAGCCTGGCAGGCACTATCCAAAAAAGTTGTACAGAGTCGGTGTGCATGGTCTGCACGTCTCGGCCGGTTCGTAGGATTTGATGCGTGTGACACTCGCGCACTGTTAAGCCCTGTAACGGAGATGCAGCCCGCGGTGGTACGGCGCTCTCGTGCTGCTACGCCCTGTTACGGAGATGGAGCCCGCGGAGGGTACGGCGCTTCGTACTGTTATGCCCTGTAACGGAGGTGGAGCCCGCGGTGGTACGGCGCTCTCGTACTGTTACGCCCTGTAACGGAGATGGAGCCCGCGGAGATACGGCGCTCTCGTACTGTTACGCCCTGTAACGGAGATGGAGCCCGCGGAGGTACGGCGCTCTCGTACTGTTACGCCCTGTTACGGAGGCGGAGCCCGCGGTGGTACGGCGCTCTCGTGCTGTTGCGCTCTGTTACGGAGATGGAGCCCGCGGAGGTACGGCGCTCTCGTACTGTTACGCCCTGTAACGGAGATGGAGCCCGCGGAGGTACGGCGCTCTCGAAATGCTACGCCCTGTTACGGACGTGCAGCCCGCGGAGGTACGGCGCAACAAGTGAAGTGCACCAATGTGCCATTCTGTGCATCATTACATGTCCATTACAAAAGAAAGGATGTTGCCAAAAAGTTGTACATAGCTATTGTCAAATCACACCTAGAGTGTTTTGTACAGGCTTGGTCCCCATGCTCCAAGAAGATTAGATCGACTGGAAAGAGCGCAGCGAAAAGCAACTAAGGTGATAAATAGGACTGGCGACCTAAAATATAGGGATTGGCTTAGGACCTTGCATTTGTATTCACTGGAATATCATAGACTTGGAGTGGATCTGATGGATGTATACAAAATTATGAAAGGCATAGGCAAGGTATATCTGAATGGGACGCTGCAAATTAGGCCGATGCATAAAGGAAACCAGCTTCATTTAACAAGAGGTAGGAGTAAAACTATGAAGAGGCAGACGTCATTTACTCAGAGTAGTGAACTACTGGAATAGGTTGACACACGAAGTTGTAGAAAGTCCCTCTAACAAAATCCAAAAACCGTGTGGACAAGTTCTATCCGTCTAAAGATTTCATTTGTAACTGAATTCATGCAGTGGTAAAATTAGTTTTAAGGATGTGTACGGGGCCTGAGGTAGACAAACCTCGATGGGCCCTCGTGGATCTTTGTTGGCCAGATGTCTGTGTTTTGATGTCTTTGTGGCAGTAGTCTATTCGGCACTGCTACGGCCAGGGACAAATAATAGAAGCTAAATTGCATGCGTTATGGGGGTTTAAAGTTGAACGGCCACTCTGAAACGCAACTTGCTGTGAAAATAAAGTTGGAAAAGCTGTTGATAGGTGCGCTCACTTTATACCCCAAAGGCGACTCAGGGTAAATTCATTGCCTACTGTGCAGTTTAGACTGAGGAACGACCGCACTGGAGATGTCAGTGGAAGAGCTCGATCCTTCTGATGTTTTGAGAACATTATTTAGCTTCGCAGAGGAAAACGTTCGATTGGTATTGTCTTGTCTCTCCACACACAAACCGGCCCAAGTGCGGCCTGAGCTTGAGTACGCATGGCGCGTACGCGCGGCTGGGATGGTTCTAGGAAAAACGGAATTAACAATGGATAATTATCACAGCTGCTACTTCCTGAATGTGATCTACCCAAACCAATTCTTATTTTTATGTCTAGCAACTTTCATCGGGCCTTTACCCCCAACCGTTCTGAACGCGGTGTTGCATCATGGTAAACGACTGTCACCAGTATCAATGCACATCGCCGGGTTCAGGAAAATGACCACAAGAAGCTGCTATGCCAGTAGGTTAGGAACCATGCTTAGCCAAACACAGTGTGTACACACATCATATCTTTATTAACATACTACATGTCATCCATCATTCTATCTCGTCGCAACGTAACAATATAATTCACCAGCAGCCTTAGCCCCGCCGCCACAGCTCGGTCGAAGGACCGTGTGGAGGACGGGAGCACCCGAACCGCGGCTTGAGTGTCCTTGCCGGCCGAGGCTGACTGGCAGGTCGCCAACCTGCCGAGCGGAAGATCAACTGTGGTGACATCCGGCCAGGTCAGGCGTGTCACGCCCCCCCCCCCCCAACGGATGGAATGACCGCCATGTATTCGCTGCTTCCCACGAGAGCACCGTTCTCCTCCCCACATGTGCACATACGGCGGTCACTGCCAACATCTAGTGCATGTCCGTTTGGCGAGAAGAGCGATTCGTTTTTCTGGTCGCGTGGAAGTTTCAACCGCGACATGAACTGAAATGGTCTGATTCACGAGGGCAGCAGGACGACGTATTTCTTTAAAACTAGTTATGGAGTCCGCGTACCTTTTACGACTAGGCATCCGAGATGGTCCTATTCACCCTTGATGCCGGCAGACCTCTTTAACGTCTCCATAACCAGCTTAGTTTCCTTCTCGTTCTTTGACACGCCGTATGGGTTTATCGCCTGCGAACATAACGGTTAAATTACAAAGTATACCAGCTCCAAGCCATACCACTGATTGCACGCACAGGACCATGCCAAAAATTCAAACAATGACATACCATGTATGTCACAGAGGATACATGGGTAACAGAGTCCAGAATCTGGCGAAGCTCTCACCTTGCGCATTTCCTCATCACTAGGGGTGACCATCCTCATCAGGAAGTAGCCGAGCCCCGTCCAGACCACCAGGTGGGCCAGCGCCCGCGCCGCCGCCATTGATCAGCTGTGGGGACAGTATCACCTTGTGACACGCGCAGTATGTCTTATGGTGCCGCACTGCAAGCCCATGTAAGGCAATCAAACAGGTCAGCTTAACTGTGTTGTCAACCCCACTGTCACTGGTAGCATTCACATGATGCATCAAATAACTCAAACCTTAGAATCAAACAGCCAATAGCACATCTCATCGCCCCACGTCGGAATCGGGGAATGGCTGTCACGCTGCTCCATGCCCTACCTCTGAGGGGAGGACGATGAGGCCGGAACTCTGTGGACCCGGGTCCTTCCACGCCTGGATGTCGGCCGACTCAATCTGGCGGTACTCCTCCCCTATGGTGTTGCAGAAGGTGTAGTACGCCGACAGCACCGTCGGCCAGTTGCGGTTGCAAATAATAACGAAACTCTGCCAGCAGGGGCACACAAGTTTGTAGCTTATTTTGCTTCCCTCATGGATGGTCATGATTAACACTTCTGGCCTATGCAAATTAGTCAAGCCCAGTTTTTAAGTATCAAGAAATGGAAAAACTGAGCCAGCACCCTATCATACAGTGGCAGTTCCTGTCCCCACATTCACATGAAGTTCCAAGGCATACAATGAAGCACGCACTTTTTGCAGTCATCTTCACAAAGCAAGCACTCTCACACACACACAACATTTTTAAACCTGAGAACAGTTTTGATCAGATAGATTTCCAGGATGGCATCCAATTGTGACATTTCAGGACATCAGCATATTTTTTGTAAAAGTTAAGCTAGCCATAATACTTGGCATAGTCCATCCTACCACTTCTGTCACCCAACCTTAAGCATGGCTGCTATGAACTGCCACACTCCATCCCATTTGGACAAATAGTAACAGCTTAAGCAGCTTGAATTTAACCTGCCAGTGTGGATAAATAAAAAAAATGAGCTATAGGATAGAGCTTTTCAATATACAAGCATGCACAAGCTTGTGCAGTGATCTATGCATGTGCAGTGCAGTGCAGTGCTGCAGTGCCCCCACTCATGCATGCAGACACACATCTGTCTGTTGCTGCTATTCATCATAATCAGTACCATTGCTACCTTTTTACATTTGACTGATACCCTGATCCCTATTGACTTTCCTGGAAGTATGGTAACATGCTCCATATAAAAAACAAGCATGCACAAGCATGTGCATGCATGCATGCATGCACTCATACATGCACACAAATCTGCCAATTGCTGCTATTCATCATAATCAGCATTATTGCCACCTTTTTTACACTTGACACATACCTTGATCCCTGTTGACTTTCCTGAAAGTCCAGTATCCTGCTCCAGCAACACCAAGTTCAAGTGCTATGATGACTCCAGCAGCTCGCTTCAGACGTGACTTCAGTAGCTCAAGGCCTCCTTTAGGTCTCTTTACAAGCATCTCACCATGAAATGCGACCTCCAACCAGCTGTTCCTAGCAGACCATGAACATTAATCATATGTCCTGAAACACGTAAATACACAAACAAATCTATGGCCCTAGGTACAACAATTCTACACTTGTTGTGTCGTTGTTGGTTTAGGGCGCATAGCCTCTTGGGCCCAGGCGTCCATCGTTGAAGTGTTGTCTTAGAAGTTTGGTAGCACAGATGGTAACTAAGCGCGACAGAGGATAGAAGGAATGTGTCGCACTGGTCAGGAATTTTCGTGCAGGATAGTGGTGTAGCAATGAGGTGCAGTAAACGGTGTTAGTTTCTAGAAAACTCGGTGTTAAATGTTCAGATACATAAACTGATTAGTGAACTCAAACGAGAGAACAAAAAGTCCGGTTTTTTTTGGCCAGGCTCTTTTTTATCATTTTCTTTTAACCGCAGCTTCCCCACATGATAGACGTTGCAGGTTAGTCATCAGTCAGTCGGCAGTCACAACATTGCCGTTTAACAAAGCATTTACCAGATGGAAATTTCACATATCTGCCATGCCGTGTACTCTAACGCATGCACGCACATTCATCTGTCTTCACCATGCTCGTTCAAACCTCATTCGTGTAATCTCCTCTGCTTACGCACACGCCCCACGTATCACACATATACACATATTTGCTACACATAATTCCTATACCACTCCTTGCTTCTCACATTTCTCAAGCATCCAGTCAGACATCGTACGCAGATATGCACGCAAGCTTAAATTATACATAGAATAAACAACCCATTTCAAACAATTACGATATAGTATAAACAACATGGCAGCAATCAATGACAGCAAAGCAAAAATTGCACATGTCCCGCACGCAAAGGCAGCACTTCACAATTGTTTCAGTAGGTCGCAGTGTCGCAAATATTTCATCACTCCATCAATGATGTCCGGGAATTGATTTCCTACCAGCGACCCTCACACAAAATTGTGCTCCGGACCGTTGACATAGTGTTACCAATGATCGTCTTTCGTGAAAATATACGGGACATTCAAGAAGAATGTGATACACTGTTAATGGACACTGACATCGTTCACATTCAGGTTGGAGGTTTCTATCTATCATGTATGAGTGGGTATAACGAGTATGCCCAAGTCTCAGCCGGCACAGCACTATCTCTTCGCGTCGGACTGCTCGCTTACAGGAGACCCAGTCTCCTACCTCTTCTTTGAAGCGTTTTAAATTAGTCCTAGGGTTGTAATCTGTCCAATATTTGTTGAATAATTCACGAATACTTCGGCGCACTTTAGGAAAATAATCTTTAGGACCCATTTGAAAATTACACACGTCATTCAATCTTACAGCCATCTTTGCTTGTGCATCCGCTGTCTCGTTTCCACGTATATTACTATGGCTTGGGATCCAGAGGACAAGGATTATACTGCCCATTTCAATAAGCTGATTGACCGTCTCTAGTAAATGGATCACGATCGGGTTTTCAGAAGTCGGATTTCCCAGGGCTGTTATAATGGACAAGGAGTGTGTGCATATAACCATTTGAGGATGCGATTTGTATGTGTATAATTCAGAGCCTGTAATACTGCGAATCCTTCAGCTATAAATATCGAACAAAGTTCAGGAAGTTTAAATTTTTGACGTCTTTCACCGTGGACAAAAGCACATCCAACTCCGTCTGCACTTTTTGCTCCATCGGTAAATATGAACTCGTATTCTGTATACCTGCTTCTCAAATCATTAAACTCACATTGAATTTGCACTTCATCTAGCGTTCTCTTGCTCCTGTTAGTCAACTTTATCAACGTACATTTACGTAATCTCCATGGCGGAACGACGCTGCGTTTTAAGGTCACCTCTTCTGGGAAATCGAATCCTGTTTCATGGCACATATCAAGTATTCTCTCATATAGCGGGAAACCAGAAATCCTTTTCATATATCCAGTCTCTACCTCATGTAACGCAGCCTCATTGGCCATAAGTTTTCTGCATGGATGATCCTCTCGACTTAGTATCTTCAGGGAATAACGGAGAGACAAGTCGCATCTCCTCAGTCTCAAGGGAAGTATGTCTGCTTCAACCATCAGTGGTAAAATGGGCGAAGTTCTAAAGGCTCCAGTAGCAATTCTGATGCATTCATTTTGAATAACATCAATCATTTCCACTGCCTTGTTACGGGGACCATCAAAAACTTGGCATGCGTACTCTAATATCGGTCTTATCATGGCTTTGTATATTCTCAATAGTGTAGAACGATCTGCGCCACAGCCTTTTCCAGATAAACATGTTAATATTGATATCCTTTTGACAGCTTTTGTTTTAATGTACTGCATCATCGTGTTTAAGTTCAGCCTAGAGTCCAGCATCACTCCCAAAAACTTGACGGTGTCGGTGTATGTTAACGGTTGGTTAAATATATGTAAGTTAGGTATGTTCATCATCTCTCTTGCCTTCATATACCTTCGAAATACAATTGCGTTGCATTTGTGAGGTGAGAAAGGGAAACCCCACCGATCAGCCCATGCACTCACATGGTTCAGCGCCCCCTGCGTTTTATTAACTAGATGAAAAATTCTCCTTCCCTACACCCATAGAGAGCAATCGTCAGCGTACAGCGCTCGGGACACTTCACTCGGGACATTTCCACACGCGTCATCAATCATGATGTTAAACAGTATCTGGGATATAACTCCTCCTTGGACTAAGCCGTTTTCCTGTTCAAACGTATCCGATAATGTTCCATTGCGCACCTGGAAGGTTCTGTTATCAAGGTACGATCTAACGAAATACATAAGGCGTCCTCTAAAACCCATATTAAACATTTTTGTGAGCAAAGCAACTTTAGACGTGAGATTATATGCATTTTTCAGGTCCAAAAAACAGCCAAGGTATATTTGTTGTAGAAAAAACCTTTTCTAATCTCGGACTCCAGCCTGACTACATGGTCTGTGGTACTCCTTCCATTCCTAAATGCACACTGATATTTAGACAACATATTGTTCCGCTCAAGAAACCAGGATAACCGTCTGGCGACCATTCGTTCCATTATTTTGCTAAACATGAAGTTAGCTGAATTGGTCTATATGACTCAGGGTTTTCCCTAGGTTCGCCTGGTTTCAAAATAGGAACAATAATCGAGTGTCTCCATTCATCAGGGATATCACCTCCACACCATATGCAGTTCATCATTTCCAAAATTGAATGCAATTGTTCATCACGTAGGTGTCTAAAAAACGCGTAATGTATCTCATCCGGTCCAATGGATGTATTGCCGCATTTAGCAATAGACATTTGTAGCTCAGTTATCGTGAACACATCGTTGTAAACCTCCTCATTGTCAGAAATAAATGACGGCATTTGATCCATCACATCCCATTCCAGCTCTCTAAAAGTGGCTCGGTAGTTCCGAGAGGACATGTCAGAAAACAACCGTCCGAAGATATTTCCAACTTCAGTTGGGTCGTCAATTATGTTACCAGCCACTTTCAGAACAGGTAAGGGTCTCGCAAATCGCTCCTTTCTGGTAAATTTCCTAATGATGTCCCATAAGTGTTGCATCGGCGTATTCACATTGAACATATGCAATAGTTTTTCCCACGAACCTTTCTTTGCCGTACGAATTATCCTTCTGGCTTTCGCCTTCGCCTCCTTGTAAGCCAATAAATGCAGATGTGTGTGCGAACGTCGGAATCGATTGAGCGCCCGTTTCCTTGCCCGAATTGCCTCCTTGCCACTCGTCAGTCCACCAGGGGCAGCTATATTTGGTGTTTCTGATTTTCCGAGGAATATTTTCTTTTGCTGCTCCCAGCAAAACCTTCGTAATGTTTTGGTAGTTTTGCATACCGTCCCTTTCATTGAATCGCAAACAACATCTGTCAGTAAATTCAGACCAGTTCGCCTTGTTAATATTCCAACCAGTAAATTCGTCACGTCGTGGTGGAATATCTCCATACCTGTCATATGTAATATAAACTGGGAGATGATCACTGGAGTGTAAGTCAGTGTCCGTTTGCCAATGCATGAACTGTCCCACACTGCTTGACGTCACAGTCAGGTCGATATGTGACCATAATCCTGTGTACTCGTCCATTCTGGTTGGGGAACCATCGTTCATCACTTTTAAGGTATGTCGCCGTATTATCATTTCCCACACCTTTCCACGAGAATCGCACCGGTCTGCACCCCATAAGAAATGCCGACTATTGGCGTCCGTGTTTATGATATACGGCTGCGGTAGCTGTGTAACCAAGTCGTTCAGTTCAAGGTACGTCAAATTCTCGTTTGGTGGTAAGTATAAAGAACAAACACAAATACGAGAATGCCCCATTGTCACCGAACATGCCACCGCCTGAAAATTAGTATTTAGTGTGACCTGAAAATGAGGTAGGTAGGTCGTTGCTGACGTAGATTGATGCTCCGCCTCGTCTAATATGTGCGTCAGAATAAGCGTTGTAAAGAGAATATCCGGGAATTCTGAAATCATATTGGTCAGTAGGGAGTAAGTGTATCTCTTGGAGACATACGGCACTATGTGGTCTTGCCAGCAACAGTGGTTTATCTCCGCCCACTTTGAAATCACACCTCTACAGTTCCACTGCATAATGCTGAAAGTCATTTTATTGTTGCCTTAGACTGCAGACTCCGTCCAGTCAAGCACACACGCCGACAACAGTTCGACATTTAGTGAACTTTTAAACTTGACCATCAGAAAATCACGCGAGTAGCCTGTGCCGCGTACCATATCCCCACACACAAACATACAACCAATGCGCAGCCCGAACGCCGAAATCCAACAAAGGACCGCCACCCAAAAACATGAAAAAATCAGATAAATAAATTAATAAATATGCCAAACATCGGTATGTACTACTTGTCCTGTAACTACGAACAAACATCTCAGTACACCACACATTTCCCTTTCCCTTATTCCCCTCCCCAGCCAGCCCCAACCCCGCGGTCGGGACCAGGCGCGCTCCGGCCGGTCGAGTGGAAATAGTGCCTGTACCGTTGCCCCCGGCAAGGATCACCCCGCACCCTCCGAAGGGTGACCTCCACGAGACAAACAACCTCAGCTCGTCCACCCCCTGACCCGAATTAGGTATCGCACCTGGATGTTTAACCTTACCTCCGAGAACCAAGTTGGCTGGGACTAGCCCAACCGGGCGACCTCTGCTCAAACCGAAAACGCAGCTGCCTCCGGAAAACACCATGAACTCGTTATTTAAGTCTCCCTCAACTTTGCAAACCCATTTCGCATAACAATCCCGGCATTAAGGGTCCTAAAATAACTATGAAAACAAACACCACCGACCACTGCATGCCCTCGGCACGAGAAACAATTACGTGGAGAACGTCTGAATTGCTGGCCTATTCGTTCAAATATTCAACATACCTGTCAACCAATCACCAATAAACTATTCAGCTATTAACAAAGAAGAAAGAAATGTGGTTCACTCCATTTCAATACTAGTTAGTCATCCTTCCATGACCTCCTTTGGCTGGAGTTTCTCTTCGGCCTCTCCATAGATCTCCCTGCTCGGCTAATCATTGGTGATGGGGTAGTGTCATTAGGTACCTCAGATATGTTACATTGTTGTTTGTCCTTTTTCTTTGCCCTACATGGTCTCTGCCAACCCTCCATCTCCTCATTATGCTCCAGAGTCATATGATTCATCTCCCTGTCCACTCTTTCACTTTCTACATCATCTCTCTGCATCACTTGAACCTCTCCATCATTCCTCCTCTCATAGGTTTCCTGCTCATCTTTTTGAGTGTCCTTCTGTCCCTCTGCTATAACATCCACCTCAACTTCCTCATCCTGTCTACCTACAGGTCTGGTACTGTCATCCCTCCCCCTGGTATTCCCCTGGGCACCCTTGTTTCATCAGCAGTTGCTGAAGCAGAGCAATCATCTCACCCACCCTTTTCTTCCAGTTTTCCTACTTTTTCCCTGAGGTCATCATGCTGCTTGTTAGTGGGAGCCACACTTGGGTGCCGGACAGTTGCAGCATATGACTTCAGGACAGGGGGGTCATGCTCTTTCTCATATTGCCTTCTAGCCTGAGGGTATGAGAGTTCTTGTTCAGTTTTAATCTTACATATCTCCTTTTCTTTTTCCATATTTCACACTCTCTGGCCATACATGAGTGTCCTGACTGTTTGCAGTTCACACACCAGCGCTCACATTCCCCTTCATGCTTTCCTTTCCCACAACGAAGGCATAGAGGATCACCAGGGCATCTTGTTTCAGTGTGGCCAAATCCGCCACAACCAAAACATATCAGTGGGTTGGGGATATATTGGTGGACATGGTAAGTGATGTAATCCAGCTCCATTTTGGCTGGGCATGAGGACCTGTCAAATGTCAAAAGTATGGTTGGGGTATTCTCCATCTTTCCATCCACCCTCTTGGTGAATCTCTGAGCACCCACTACCCCAAATTCACCCAGCCATCCCACAATCTCAGTCTCGGACAAATCTACAAGGTCATATGCAATGATGGTTCCCCTGGATGTGTTCATTCTTTGTTCGCGAACACCTCACACTCCTCATTCCCAAACTTTTTATTTTTCATGAACTTTTCAGTCTGTCCATGATTTTTGGTGTTTATCAGAAGGCTGCCTGCAGCCAGAAGATTCGCCTTTTCAACCTTCCCAGAGCCTCCCAGATCTCCTCTCACGCACATCTGGATCCATGGCCAACCTTTGGACTTGAATGATTTCCCTGAGTTCAGCGTTATTTTCAGGTATGAGCCTGAGGATTCCCCCCCCTACCTGAGAAAAGAAAAGTTCATCTGTACGCACTCGCTTACCGGGTCGGCTCCGCCCAGTCATCTTCACTTCACTCCATCACCACCAAGAAGAAAGAACATTACACTGAGACTCACCCGAAGTCTTGAAACAGGAAGAAATTCAGAAGTAAATTAAATGTGACCCCACAGAACTAGCTTCCACCGTTCGTATGGCCTGTCAAAAATGCTCTACACTTATCCAGACACCAACACGCGCCACCCCAGATGGCCGGAACGTGTCCCCTTCAGCAGTACTCGAACGCGAATGCAATGTATGTTTTGCATGACAAACCCCGCGCTGCGTCTCGAAATTCTACACTTGTCTGCCCAAGTATTCGTTTCAGCTGTCTCCATCGCGTCACTTTTGTATTCAGATTTTTCTTGCAGCCTTCTGATACCAACCAGGGCCGAGGGATTTCCCCATTGGTCCCCTGACGCTGATCTTGTCGCGGACGGGCGCAGGGGACGGGCGTTGACGTGCGGGTGGTAAGTGGGTCGGTGGGTATTACACTGGGTGGGTGACGAGCTGGAATCAACTATCCTAGAAGACCCGTGGGAATCCGTTCCATTACAGAGGTAGGTTCCGAGGTGGAGGTCACAGCATCAACGTGTGTTGATGCAGTCGAGCGTTATTGCATCATACGTGAGGACGGAGTTGCATGAAGTGGGACTGTTAAGGGACCTATTGATATGTTAATATTGGATTTTGAGACCAAGGGCCCAGATGATTTAACCAAACCTAATCTAACATAACCTAATGACAGTGTAGCATAACCTGACCTACCCTAACCTACCCTACCATACCCTTACCTAACCTAACCTAACCTAACCTAACCTAACCTAACCTAACCTAACCTGACCTAACCTAACCTCCCTACCCTATCCCCTTTCAGCCCAACATCTGGTTGGCACTCATGCTCCATGTCACATGTCTACTGTATTATGACATTATATATAGCTGTTATGTCCCTTCTTGCCCCAGGTTATTCAGCAATGATTGAGGCTAGCAGTTTTGTGTTTTCTTGGCTCAATGAATTTAGTTAACTGAACAAGATTGGCAGTTTTGTTCATGTGATATGCCTTGCACCAAAATTAGGCCATGTGACTAGGGTATGCACCTATCTTTTTAAGATAATGTGTTATGGTATGGCAGCTGGACATGAGAAGTTTTGTCATGAACCCTCAATAAATATTGGCAGCAAAGTTATTGTGAAACTGATAGCTGGTTATGTGAATTCTGGTAGATGGTAAAAATATCACAAAAACAAAATTATGTAGAGTGGGACAATAGTCCTAACAGCATGTCTTTTCAAACTGGGGACCTTCTCAAAGTATTCAAAGATGTCCCCTGCTTGAAGTGCTGCTGGCATGACTTTTGACTGGCTGCAGGTCACGTGATCCCTGAATAATTTCTAGATTCTGAGAACAAGCTGTGATCATTGCAGTCATAGATCAGATTGATCCCAGAACATTTCATTGTCATTCCAGTAATTCATTTACCCAGAACAGATGTCAAAATTGGTACCTTAAGTATTTAAGCTAAACCTTAAATTTTTTTCTGCCTATGGATGACTATGGCATCAGAGGCATGGTAGTACTATGATGCCTGGATCACATTAGTCACAGATGTTATTGAGTGTTCTGATCCTGATTGTGTTTTCAGGACCTGAAAACCTCACCATGAGCAAGGCTTCTGCACCTCCTGACTTTCAGCCTCCAACTGATGGGCCACCCAGCTATAACCAAGCTATGACTGAAGGTGCTGCCTACCAGCCGACACCAGGTATGAACTGACTGTCAGAACAAAGGCAAACTTGAACCACCCAGCAGCCACTGGCTGGACATGTGCTCCAGGAATCCACCACATATTGACTGAGAAAATGTGCATGAAATAACTTGCATGCAGATGCATTTTTGCTAAAGTGGTGTAAGTAATGCTTTAAATCTGGCTATGTGATTTCATCACAGTGAAACTGACAATAACAGACCTGTGGTGCCCAACACTTTTGATTAGTCCCAAAACCAAAAACTAAACCATACCAGAGTTACCTTTAGTCACTATAACATGTAAAATCCATCAGAATGATGTAAATTAATGTGTTGTGGAACCCATGTTGAAGGTTTGGGCCATGTAATGTTTGGATTTGTCATGTTTCTAACATTTTGATGTGTTGACCCTGTATTGTGTTACCCTTTATGTCAACAAATACCATGGTTAAAGGTACAGATTTCACAGCTTTGAATGGATGTTGTAAACTAAAATTTGGTGGCAAATATGGGAGTTAATGATTTCATTCTGAATAAGTTGAGCTTGAAGTCTAGTTCCCATTGTCATGCTTTTACTGTTCTGTGGAAGTTCAGTCAAAAATAGACATGAACTGCTCATTACCATCTTCATGCTATTTTTGTGACAGTCAACCATGCAACATCAAAAGAACAACAGCATGAACCAAAATTAAAAATTGAAGTTATTTTACTTGTTCAGTGTGGGTCAAACTATGCAGAGTTTTGTGATTACTCAATGTTTGCCACGCAACAGCTGCTATTAGATGCATGGTAGCAATATTACCATTGTAGTCAGTGTGCCATGCAGCCCATATCATCGTCATCATGCTATGAAATGTGGATGGTCATTTTGGACCTCTCAAAAGCGCGTAGGTCTTTTAGTCATGTCGCTATTGATCTGATTTGGCTAAAACCTGCATAGGTATTCATGGTATCAAGTAACCCCGCCGTCACACTGTCACCCGAATCCGACAGATTACGCATCAGATTGCGCCATTCATTTTCCGTGGATCGCTGGTCAATGTGAAATATCATTAAGCAGTAAACATTAAGGCTGTAAAGAAATTTCCTTGTTCAACAAAAAGGTTCTGATTTGACTAAGATTGAACTTACAGTGAATTATGAGCTGAAATGGCTGCATATTTCTACCAACATTGTAATATACTGTGCCTCATATTCCAAGGCCATATGGTGATACAGCTGGTATACTGATCAAAAGAAATTTGTAAGCTTTAACTTACTCGTTGTCTCAACTTAAGTTTGGCGATGTCATACATTTACGGTTGAGGGCATTCTGAGCGTTTTCGCACGTGATTTGGATCACCACAGCTGTCAGCTCCACTTACATTAGGCATAGCATTTTGTTCTTCATGCATTTTGTACGCAAAAACGCAGAAACAAACAAAGACATCGCTACGCCGCCGATGTTCTCTTGCCGTCACCTGAGCAGAGCTTGACCCAGGTGAGGTCACGTGTCATGGGCCGTCGATGACGACAGTGTCACTTTGATTCGGAATGTTTTCACTTTAGCTATGTCGTATGACCTTAATCGAGATTTCCGTGGAAGCTGTTCACCTAGCCATGCGGTGTGACCATCCAAATGGGGTCATTGGTGGACACGTCGTGTAGTGCCCCAGCGGTGTTGTGGGGCGCCTAGGAGTCGGCGCCAGGTACGCATTGTCCTCAAGGAACACCGTGGCCCTCTTGCCAGCCGCCGTCAGTTGTGTTCTGCGGCGGGCGGACTTTGCCCGAGTGTGACTCCTTCTTTGGTGCCTTGTGCGCAGGTCCTGCCGACTACAAGGCTCCACCGATGCCCCAGGTCGCGTCTCCGTACGGTCCGCCAGGCGGCGCTGGACCCTCGCCGTACGGCCAGGGGCCCGGTGTGCCGTACGGCCAGGGGCCCGGTGTACCGTACGGCCAGGGGCCCGGTGGACCGTACGGCCAGGGGCCCGGTGGACCGTACGGCCAGGGACCCGGCGTGCCGCACGGCCCTGCCCAGCAGCAGCAGTACGGACAGTACGGCGCTCCGCCAGGTACGCGCCGCACCGTCTCAGGAGCGGTCAGGGGAAGGAGGATGGTGCACGCAGGACGCACGGGACCCCGTGGCTCACCTCCAGGGGCTGCGCTGTCGAGACACTCGAGTTGTTGGCAGACGGCTCTTATCGTCAGCCGCTCTTGCGAGTCAAGTAACATTCTTGGGACATTGGCAGGCTCGTACCTTTTCAGCCGTTGAACAGTAGTTTACGATCGTGCTAAGAAGCTTGTATTTTCATGCGCGAACCGTCAAGAGCGCATGGGGCGAACGCATGAGGTGTTTTGTGCCGGCTCGGCACTGCGCCCCTGGCCGACGCCGCGTGGCACGGCTGAGCGGTGCGCCACCCGTCGCAGGTGTGCCCCTGCAAGCGGCGCCGCCGGCACAGACGCACCTGGTCACGGTGGCCGGTCCCAACCCGGCCCACATGATGTGCCCGCACTGTCACGCCGAGATCGAGACCAGCGTGCGCTCGTCGCCATCGACCACGGCCTGGATCGCCGGCCTGCTGATCGCGCTGTTCGGGTGCGTGCGCCGCGGCCGGGCCGCTCCGCGGCGCGTGGACGCCTGATTGGCTCTGCTGGTGTCGTGTCCCTGTAAACCGGCCCCGCCCAGGGCTCGACCACGTGTGTTTGGCCTGCTGCTCCGCGAGGACTGTTGGGATCCGCACGTCCACTAGCGCAGCGTGACTTCGGGGGAACCTGAAAGCGTTTATTTTAATTGTCTATGCCAGTGTACAGTGTGATCTGGCATGTAAGCCGTCTTATCTCTGCAGCTTATCAGGCGTTTAGTCAGTTCATTAACATGGTCAGGCGGTAGCTCCTCTCCAAATATCCTCATGGAGCTTTTGCAGGGAAATGCGTAGGAACATTGTTACTGTGTCAATTTGCATTGTTATCATGTCTGTCAGAGTATTTTGCTTCCCAGCCATAGGTGTGTTTGCACGCATCACCTGATGTTTATTTGCATTCACCTTTCAGATGCTGGATGGGCTGCTGTCTGATCCCGTGCTGTATGGACGAATGCATGAACAAAGAGCACTTTTGCCCCAACTGCAAGGCGTTCCTGGGGAGCTACAGGCGATAAGCAAAGTTCAGGCTGTTTGCTGACGCCCCCGCCATCTGGCGTCGACGTGTGAGACTGCGGGCTGACGTGACCCGTCGCACCTGCGCTTTGACGGGCCGGTGTGGTCCCTGTAGGGGGTCTGCGATGAGGTCAAGGCTCTGGGGTCACCCCAGTGAACGGCGAGGGTGTGTAATCTACACAGGATGTGACTTTACCTATGTCAACGGGTTGTGGCAGTGCTACTTTCTTCGCCCGTGCGGGTAGTAATTTTATACCTGTTTAATTTTGTGCATGAGCCCGCAGCTTCGGACGTTTGAACGCCATCTCGGGCCACGTTTTTGTCGCTCATTGTCACTGGTGCTGTTCAAAATCGAACGGGCTTCTCGAGCGGGCTCGGATTACGAGCAGGGGCGGAACGTTCGCAACGTTTGACGGCGTTCAAGCATTTTCCGTCAATGGAATTTCCTGATTACTTGGCAGCGGTACGTTTCCGTCACTTTTCGACGATTTAAACACGCGGCGGTACAGGCTGCGTATCTCTCCATGTTGCTGTCCCTGAAGTTTTCTTCAGTGTTTTTTTTTTGTCCGACACGTCTAACTTGCGTCGGCCGTCTGCGTGGCGCGTTCTGTGCGCCTGTGTATAGTTGGGCGGCAAGTGACACCGCGGCGTGCGTCTGCCGTCGCGGACGCTCCTCCGGACTGGGAAGCAGAGCCATGTAGCCTGCTGTTGGCGCGGGGCGGAGCGCCGGCCGGCTATCAGCCGACGGTGGCCAGGCGGGATCGCCGAGCAGAGAGCTTTGCATTGTTGTACGATAGTATGCTGGGGGGTCGGAGCTTAGTCGCATGTCATCGTGGTAATCGTACTCACTATCGTGTTGCCTCGGACCGAATGTCGTCGGCGGCGCCAGTTGTAGCGAGATGGACTGTGGGGCATTGGCGGCGAATTGGTGCCCTGCCCGCGCCCGCTCCGTCTGCGCTGGTGACATGCCCTCACTGAACAGTCCATGAGGTCCCTGCCTGAGAATATTAGCCGGTCGGTTAGGGCTTGTGTGCGGTCCATTGTGTGGCATATTGATAAATCGTTTAAACGGGACAGCGCTACACCGTGAAATGTTTGTTGTATGTGCCTGTGGAAGTGCCATAGAGGCACTGAGTCTGCTTACCTGGTCGTTGGCGGAGCGAAGAGTTCTGACATGTCATTGGTTGTAACATATGCACTGTCTTCAAAAGCTGTACACATGTGGGCATGCTTTCTGGTAATATATCGTCATACACATATGCTTGTCCTTGCGACAGGTTGTACACATGTGCAGGCACGGTGTGTACTGGCACGTGCCTACACATGGACTAACGGAACGCAAACCTTCGGACAGAGGGGGAATCGTCATATGACGCCTGCCTTAAAGATGGATGGCTTTTGGAGAGCGTACGTTTGGAGATAGAACGGCGCAAAGGCGTCATTATTAAAGCGGTTCGTCTGTTTAGAATGCTGTTAGTTTAAACTGTTCCCAAAGTGAACGTTATAAAGCATTGCGAGGGATGCATTTACGAGCGTCGTACTTTGGCACACGCCACCGCGTCACGTGATGCGTGCTGGGAGGGGGCAGGGCGCCTTTGCGGTACAGGAATGCTCCATAGTTGGAGATATTGAAGTAAGCATCAGATGTGATGCAATAAATTAACTTAACACTATTGATACACTTTTTAATGGAGAAGACTGCTCTAGACGCGCAATATCTCTGTTTATTAACTATGATTTTCGATACGTCATTGTTTGATTACGCCATCGTCCCTTGCACAACAGTGATTGAGAGCCAACTGACGGCCGTTATATCTGTATGTTGTGCTCGCGGATGCCACATATGAACAACTCGATAATCTAATCCGACGTTATTATGACGTCATGGATGCTTGGGTCCTTGAAATAGTCTCCGAAATAGTCTGCAACATCTCCCCGGGTATTAAGCCCAGCAACTGGAGGGGTTAGGTCTTCAGAAAGGCAGGGCTGTGAGCTGCACAGAATAATCCTCAGATGGCTATTTTAGTTCAAAATCCCCACACAAATGTGGACTCCTCCTTAAATGGGATGCCAGTGGATTGCGCTGGGCTTTTAGCAATGGTTTTATGCTAGTACGAATTATGATTGATTAATGAGTACACCCATTTGAAGAAAAAACAGCACCACGGCATACAAGGGAAGTTTACGCTGGTAAAAAAGCGCTTCCGTTTTCGCTCAGCTATGTTTTGCATGGTTATTGCCGTCTCAGGATTGTAACTGCTCATAGCCGTGGCCTCTTCATCGCTGTAGTCGGTCACTGAGCAGAAGAAATACGGTGCTAAGGATCTATGGATGTAATGATGTCGATTATTGTTGCCCATGGTCCGGAACATAATTCACGTTACCGTTGTTGATAAGACTGGGAAAGTGCCCAGAGACGTTGCGAAGAGGAAAGGGGCGGGTACCTGAGCCAGATTTCGGCCACTTTAATTCACGTCCCCGATGCCCAATTGAAAAACTGTATCGAAACATCTAGTTAAAATTTCAAAACTGCTCTAGCGTTTGGTTAGCGACTTCTCATCTGAAGCTGACGTGTTTTGTTAAGAGGCTTAGAATGAGCTGTAATTTTAGGAAGAAGTCTTATAATCGACGGGCTATACGATCAACAAAACATTATGTCCTTCCAAGGGTGCTCGAGGCCCAAAGCAGACGGTTACATGTAGGAAAGCGTGACCTGAAACAAATAAACCAGAGGTTGTAAGAACTGTGTGTGCTCGGTCAAGATGTGCCCATATAAAAATTAAATGGGCCGCACCACATTTTTCAACGGACACTTCAATAATCAGGGCATAGAAGGTAAAAGCAAAGGCTGGTGACAATAAATCATCAGAGTTTGAAAAAAGCGCGACCAATGCTTTGACGCGCGTTGGAACTTGTATAAGCATGAAAGGCCTTTAACTCCTGCTGCTTCGGGGTTATGTGTTGGCATTTTTTATTTTGTCCTCTTCAATAACGTTCTGCTATTTAATAAATAATTTTTTATTCTGTCCTCTTCAATGACAAATTCTGTCTGAGTCTTCAATGACGAGTCTTCCGTCACCGCGGCTGCGCCGCTGACACTCAGGAGTCAGGTCTGGATACGTATTCGAGAACGTACCCTGATGTGTGATTACGCGCACAGACGACCCGCGCGGCAGCCATCAGCCGACCCTCTCCTTACGCGTCGGCTCCTACGCGCGCGGGAGCCGTCAAGGGCAGATCTAGGGCAATGCTAGAGAGCAGCGTGTACGGGGACGCCACAGCTCTAACATTAAGTTAATCGACATTCAGTTTACCATGAGGACTACCTCGTTCTGGAAGTCTTCAATTTGCCACGACTTTATGAATAAAACATTCGTTAAATTGAGAAAACCCAAACTTTGGAATGGTCAGATTTCTTCAGAAAAAAAATGGCTAACGCCACGCCAGTATTTCTTTTGCTCTGAAGCACACCAGTCATAACGTGATAAGTGCATTCCTCCGAAAATATAATTTTGATACAACTAGATGGAAGTTGTGTGGCATGTCGCCGAAATGCACTATAACCCGTCCCGTCCGAAATGCACCATAGCTTGTCTGACAGCTTAGTTGGTTAGAGCCCCTCTCGATTCGCGCAGCAACAGCGGGATGTGTTTGAGTCGTCTCAGGTATCCGTAATATTCCGACACGTTAATCCTTCGTCGAAAAATTATGCCGTTGACACGGAATTTTCTGACCGGATGGCGGTGGGGGGGGGGGGGGGGGGGATAGGGCTAACGCAGCAAACGATACTTAGCATAAGCCCTCAACCCAGAAACGCATCCAATCAAGAGGTTTAGACTAAACCTTTTAAAAAACACGGCCGCGTCTACCAAAATGCATTCAACTTCGGCAAACACCAATGATGCTAAAAGAAACGGTGCTTATGTCACAGATGCGGAGAGCGTTGTGTGTGTGTTATGATCCCCAGTTTTGAGAGCGTGATAGTGCTAAAATATCACTGATCTTCCCTGCAAACAGATGCACAGAACACCGCATGGGCTCCGATTTTGTCGTAAAATCACGGTTCAACAGTTTAATAGTGCCATTTTCGCAAACAATTGCAAAAATTACCCAGACTGTCTCTAACTGAATCTCATATGTATATCGAGTGGCCCAGATAAGAGTTAACCTGCGCTTTACTCCGCAGTGGTAAGTGCATTTTTTGCACAGTCAAGACCGTGGGTCGTTCAACTAACTATTCAATGACAAAGTTCAATAAAAAATCCCAGTCTCAGTGGTTCACATTCGTAAGATTTGTAACTCTATAAAAGATGCTTTTATGACGAGAACGAGGATCCGGTCAGTATCACCCCCGTGCGCTACATCGCTACTGCTCTGATATCCTTATTAGCGACCCTGGAGCGACCTCACGGGGTTGATCGGGACGAGGAGGGGCTCCAGCAGGACGGGGTGATACTCCACACGGCACGGGCTCATACGGGGGAGTTGGCATCATGAAAACACTAGGTAGTTACACGATACTGTCAGGTGCAAAATGAGCGTGATATGAATGGTAATGTGATTAGGTGCTTAGTGTGCCCGCAGTTCAGAGACATTTGCTACATTTCATAGACCCATATTCCTTTTTTGCCCATATGCATCGGGGGCTCAAGTCAGTATGGGGTAGGCTCATCCCCACCACCCCGCCCAATAGTGTACAAAGTGACGCCACTGGTCCCATGCATCTGTTCAGCATGGAGAAAGACCATGAGCACATTTAGAGGGGGCGCGTGTACAGATTTGATGCGCCTCAGAAACGTTACAATTGGAGCCCGCAGACTAATTCTTTGCTGATGATTTGTTTACCCGCATATTGAACAAAACTTAGTTCACTTTTGCTTCCAGGATATCAGTAACAAGCTGGACGCTAATAATGCTTCCCGGTAATTGGAAACGTTGCAATGCCACAAGTGCTACTGAGAACTGTCACGTGCTTTCTGCCCGCGCCAGGTGCCGGAAAAAGGCATCTTTGTTTTCATTTTCTTAAGCATGTGTGTTTGTGTAGCTCACCAAAATTTGTCCGGACAACCGCATACTGTTCCTCGTCAGTCGTTGCTTCGGGAGGACAGAGGTAGACTAGTGACGGCCAAAGAATTTCGAAGTCATCACAAAGCTACCATGCCAGCGAAAACGCCAGTGATGGACTTTCTGATGCATTGTATTAACGCGACGAATCCACGGCTCGTAATCACGAGCTGAGGCTGCTAGGGTCAGAACAAACTGCCGTTTGCCTGTGGGTAATCTTTGGTTCCTCGTGGTGTATCAGTCCTTTCCGCACGAGACTTCCACAGCAGACCGAATCACGCGTATGCGCTGCAGCTGCGATATGTTCAATTAAACATATTTTCAGGAGGTGGAATGCCCTGAGCACTATCGGCGTGTTAGAAATGAGCTGGCCGAAAGGTCAAACTGTCGTAACAGCGAGCGCTGATCCCGGCGTCGACTCGCGACTGCCTCAGCGCCGGCAGCCAGGCGGCTCCCCCAAGGTCACGTGGGGCCGAGTCGGCGGCGGGCCCGACCAGCGCCGCCGCCAGTGTTTTTGTCGCGCCTCCGGCCACCGGCGCGTAGCCCCCGCCCGGCCGCTCCCGCGCGCGGCCTCCAACGAGCGCCCGGCGCCCGCGGCACCTTTCACCAGCGCAGCCAATCGGCACGCCGCACTCATCGCGGCTACCAATGGCACGGCGCGAGACAGCAGCGCTGCCGAGACACGGTCGGACAGGGCCTATCGCCGGGGCGGGCGTCCGGCTCCGGCGGCGGGCGCCGCGCGCGCGCCGGCCGCCGGCCAGAACGTGCGCGTCGCGCCGGGCGGCGGTGATGGAGTCGAGCGACGCAGATGAGCAGTTTCAAGGACTTGTCCGCGCGCAGCCGCGCCGGCAGCCGGAGAAGTTCACATCGTCGATGCGGACGTTCTTGCTGTCGCAGGTGATGGAGAGCTGGGCGGTGGTGACGGACACGCGGATCGACGACCGCGCCGTCTACAACAAACGCCGCGTCTGGGCGTCTATCTCTAGCCAGTTCAACCAGCGCTTCCCTCACTGCCACAAGACGGTGCAGCAGCTGAAGGACCTGTGGAAACGGCATAGCATCCAGTTCCGCAAGGAGAGTCGCGAGGAGATGGCGCTGGAAGACGACGGCGGGCCCGACTCGCTCGGTTCGATGGCCGTGCCCAACGAGGTGATGTTCCAGAAGCTACTGGAGTGGCTGGAGTCCAACCCGGGCGGGGACGACCTGGACGAGATGTCGCCACCGTCGACGGTAAAAGATGAGACGGACGAACCGCCGCGCAAGCTGTCCCCGCCAGCTGGATGACACGCCGGCTGACTCGGTCAAGCAGGAGCCTGCGTCATCGCCCTCCAGGTGAGCCTGGGCTCCAGCTCCAGGGATGACTGCAGCGACTATCTCTCCCGGACAGGCCCAGTCATCCCTCGCCGTCTCGCGGTCCGCGGCAGATCCGTCCTTGACCGCCTCCCACCCGGCTGACCCACCTGGAGCCGTCTCCCCCCTTTGCACACCCGTCCAAAATCACTTCCCAGCACCTCGTGCCGCCCGGCCAGGTCCGATGGAAGCTCAGCTCCAGGCTCACATGCCTGGGACTGCCTCCGTTCCACCGGACTGAGCTGGAGCCCCCCCCCCCCCCCCCAAGGAGAGTTAACTGCAGGTGCTTTCCCTGGAAGACCCTCTTGGAGGCGGGAGCTATATGCTTCACACACTCGCGCTTCCCATGCAGCAGGAGGACCTGAAGCCGCCCTACCGCCTGGCATACCCTCCCGGAGCCCTTCCTTCCCCCACGGCAGACCTCCTGAAGCCATGGCCTGTCCGAACCCCATCCGCCAGACCCGCCCGGAGCTGCTTGCTCGCCGGAAGGCCCGAGTGGAGCTGTCTCCCTCCTGCTCCCTTCTGCCCGAGTGGAGCTGTCTCCCTCCTGCTCCCTTCTGCCCGAGTGGAGCTGTCTCCCTCCTGCTCCCTTCTGCCCGAGTGGAGCTGTCTCCCTCCTGTTCCCTTCTGCCCGAGTGGAGCTGTCTCCCTCCTGCTCCCTTCTGCCCGAGTGGAGCTGTCTCCCTCCTACTCCCTTCTGCCCGATCGTCCCGGAAAGGCATCTCATCTCTGATCCCGGCTAGAGTCTCCGACCGCCCGGCAGACTCGCGCAGCCGTCCGTCCCCCTCCCCCTTCCGCGGAATTGGCGAGCGGGGCATCCTGGACGGCCACCGACGGCCGTCGTCCTGGACGTCCTGCTCGTCTTCTGTGCTCTGTCCTGGGCGTCGTCTGCTTGTCTGTGTTCTGTCCTGGGCGCCCTGCTCGGGTCGGCTGTGTTCCGTCCTGGGCGCCTGCTCGGTCGTCTGTGTTCCGTCCTGGGCGCCGTGCTCGGTCGGCTGTGTTCCGTCCTGGGCGCCTTGCACGGTCGTCTGTGTTCCGTCCTGGGCGCCGTGCTCGGTCGGCTGTGTTCCGTCTTGGGTGCCCTGCAGTCGGCTGTGTTCCATCGCGGGTTATTCAATACTATTCCTCAGTAACTGTATGTGCATCTAGCGTATCTTTTGTGCAGCTGTTCACCTAATTCAAATTTTGTCTAGCTGTGCACTCCCCATCTATTGTTGTAAGTGCGCAACACCCAACCTGTGTGATGTAATGTAAATATCGATTTACGACTGGCTGAAGATGTTTGTCGTTTCGTTTGCGCACGATAGTTTATCGAAGTTTGTATGTCACAGGCTCTGGCTCTGCCACGGAACCTTTACTGGGCGGAAGTCCATGACCCGCTCAGCAGCACTCCTGCAGCACGGGTTTGAGGTCGGGGGAATTCCTAATCCTACCGGCTGTAAGAAGCTGTAGGTTTTGTCCCGCACCTTACCCTGCCAGACTTTTCGAGCGCCACGGACGCCGGTCGTCATGGCGTCGATCTGCTCTGCAGTGGAGCGCCCTCCGCGCAGATCGCGTGACGCCGTCCACGTCCACACCTCGAGCACGCGCGCTCCAGCGGTCTGGTTTTCCTGCAGGGGCAGGCAGAGGCACGTGACTGCGCACGCGGGGAATCGCCAGTCATTTTAATTGACTCCGTCCGGATGGAGCATATTTAGAGCTATATCAACAATCGTTAGTTACCGGGAATCGAGATGATGGCATTCCTAATGAAACGTCGTAACTGACGCGGCATGTTTATAATTTGTAGACGGCAGCTGCCAGCCTTGGTGATGATAACTTGCACCATCTTCGGTACTCCGTATGAACGAGTTGCCTTGCTAGGATGTATTTCACAAGTGTGTCTGTGTCACCTTGTCTTTGTATGTGTGATGCACCTTCTCCGAACAATTTACCATTTATATTATATATATATATATATATATATATATATATATATATATATATATATATATATATATATATATATATATGTGTGTGTGTGTGTGTGTGTGTGGTGTGTGTGTGTGTGTGTGTGTGTGTGTGTGTGTGTGTGTGTGTGTGTGTGTGTGTGTGTGTGTGTGTGTGTGTGGCGTGTTATCGGTGGCATATTCTGTCGAGTCCCTTGCCGACTGACATCCATTACGCTCTTATCCATGGTCAGCCTGTCGGCTCGCCTGTCAGCCTCTACATGGGGCCTCTCTCCGCCCGCGGTCTCCCGCCTAGCTTCGTCCGTCTGCCTCCGTGTCCGGTCCGCCAGTGTGCGTTCTCCAGTCTCCGTCCGCTTATCTCCGATGGCCGGTCTCCTGCCTGTCCGCAAGTGTCCTCTGTCAGCCTACTGGTCCGGGTCCTTCGGTCTGCCCGTCTGTCAGTCTGCCAGTGTGTTCTCCGTCCTGGTGTCAGCCCTGAGCGTGGGCGTCTGCCGGCCGTCTGGTGCCATGCTGTCCCGTCGCGGGCGTGCCGTCGGTCGGTCGCTCGTCTCGGCCCGGCCGCCGGGGCTGTTGCGGCCGGCGCCGCTGACGTCACGGCCCGACGCCCTCCGGCGCCGTGGGAGACCGGTCCGGTCCGGCGGCCGACAGCTGCCGGCTGGCGGCGGCCGGCGCCCCCTGCCGCCGCCGCGCGCCGCCGACGGCCGGCGGCCGCGCGCGGGCCCGACTGGCCGGCCCCGCCGCCGCCGTACTTCGCCCGCCGCCGGCGGTGGCCGTCTCGGTGCCGATTCCGCCCAGCGAAGGCGACAGGAGGCCCGTCCGCCAGTGATCACCACGGGGGACAGGCGCAACCTGAGACGCGTCTCGTCCCGGAAATATCAGATGTCAGCCCCGTCCTCCCTCCCCTCCCCCGACACTGATGCACGCACTCCGGTCGGGTGGTCGGAAAACATCCCCGCCTCAAGGCACGGTCAGCGGCACGACGCTCAGCCCAGAAGTCGAGCTGGGCCTCTGCTTCCTCCACTAGGCTGGGCGGAGACGTAGCAGCGTTGGCTTTATACGTGCGCGACAGTTCACGAAAATGGTAGACTTTTCGATCTTTGGCGACCTTTTTGAACACGTTATCCGAATGTTATCAGTTTTGGGCCCTCGCGTGCTGAAATGTTAGTTTGTTAATGTGCCCAGGAGCGTATGAAGGTGTCTCAAAAAGTGATGGGTCGAGGCCTAGCTTCTTCGTCAACCATTCTCACGCATGAGCGGAAGTTCCATGCTCAATTTCGCACCGAAAGTGGGTGGAGCACCATCATGTCCGGCTCCTACACTTTTCTCTGGCGTCGAGCAATCAGTCGCCTTCTGCAATGTTTGAGGTTCGCGAAAAGAAATCGCACCAGACTAACATTAAGCTGAGACATATTGTTCTTAGAATATTTGGCCTTTCCTCACTGCTGCACACAGTTTGTTGAAAGCGGACGCTGGGTGCTCTCCCCCAGGTGGCATGTGTGTGGGTGATGACCCCCTTCTTCCCTCTGCCCACTTTCCGATCGTGTTTTTCGAGAAATAAGTAGATCATGACATCAGCAATATAAATAATAAATTATGTTAAAAATGATATCGTAAAGGCTACGGAAAAGTGGGCTGTCATCTGCCTAAAAGTATTTCTCTAGTGCTTTACACGCTGCTACAGAATGGAAACGTTGAATTTCAGCCTCTCGGCTACAGTTGTCTCTGTGGCAAGCTTGTCATCTGGTCACAACTGGTATTCGGATGGTGCATTGGTGAAATATACCTTTGCGTTGCCCGTGGGCGTAGGAACAGGGGGGGGGGTGGGCAGGGGGTCATGCCCCTCCCCCCACTTTTCAAGGTGGGGAGGCCAGCAATGTTAACTGGCCTTCCCACTTTTGAGATTAAGATTGCATTTGGCTTACTTTTGCACTGCATTTAACATCCATGCCGATTTACCTAGTTCACCAGCCATCTCCCTTGAGATGTGTCATCTTTTGCGTTTGCTCATTGACCATCACTTAATCTGACAGCCACAAGGGCAACGCCGCACGGCCTGGAGACTGCAACTCCGGGCGTCGAGGCTGTTAGTACTATGGCTTGCGAGCACGCATGTTCAGCACCATATTACATAGTTTTCTTATAAGTAATCAGCTCTGACAGGACCTTGAGCATTATAAGACGAACATGGGCTAACCGTGTTAATGCAAATTATGAACCCCATTTCATCTGCAATCTGTAGTCAGGGAGAACCAAATGGCCCTTCAACCCTTGGCCGAAAACGGTGATGTACCCGTGGTGTTCTACTCAAGAGGCCCCTTGCCTGGAAGGGAATAAGGGGTCTCATTATTGTTGAGTAGAGTGGGGCTCTCATTATTGTTGAAAAGCGCGGGTCAAAGGAACTTGAAAAAACGGGCAAGGTTATGCCATGTTTGCCTGAGAACGTTTATCTCTTTCAGAAGGTATTATTGAAACAAATTACATCAATAGGCTTGAACATGTTCGCCGCAACCTCGAGAGCAAGGACAAGGATAGTCTGGGTTGCAACTTCCGTAAAACCGATAAGTTTCGGCCACTGCAAGTGCCACCAGATAGCGGGCGCCGTGCTAATCTGTTTTCTGGACAGATAAATAGCTGCGGAAACACGAAAAATAGAGATTTTACCCTCACTCTTCCAGTTCAACCACTAGATTCCAACCCCACTTCGCTGTGCTTTAGGGGCCAATCCGTTCCTTTCATCAATCAAAAAATTGCACGCGTGAAATACGCCCCCAGACTGCCTTTTAAATACACGATCTGATATCATGAAGCGTCCAAGGATACTTTCTCAGAAGCGTCGTCATTTTCGTCCACCCGTTGGCCACAACTTAATATTAGCTGCCAGTCCGACGCTGCGCGGCCTACGGAAACTGCAACGCCTGGGGACGAGGCTTGTGGTTGTAAAATTTTCGAGTGCACATGCTCAAAATTACGCCACGTAGCTTGTATAACTATTTGAAGTGTTTAAAGGTAATCATTTCAGAAGCGTCATCATTTTCGTCCACCGGTGGGCTACGCCTAAATATTAGCTGCTGAGCTAACGCTCCGCGGATTATGGAGACTGCAACGCCTGGTGCCGAGGTTGACCACTCGATTTGCAATCTAATTCTCGTCTTCAAATCTGGATCAAACATATCGATCTACAATCTACCTTCGCGATGACCTCAATGTCTGTAGAACCCAGATAAAAAGTGACAATGCTTCTGAATTATATCGGCTTAGAAAGAGTCAGCTAACCATTGTAAATTAAGAGCGCCGATGATTTCTTTCATGCAGTCGTTCGACGCCTGATTTATGCAGCTTATTTACCTCAAAATGCAAACGGAATTGAGCTCACGGTAGCTTCTGGTTTGTGTTCTCGTTACAAGGTAAAAGTAACAATGAAACGAAGAAAACCGTGCCACTTGTTAACAAGTAAGCCATATCCGTGGATTTTTCTTTGGGGGGGGGGGGGAGGTCACCATAAGATGGGCTTTTGTCAACCCTGTGTTCCCGCTTGGCAAGGCTCTGGCTACGCCCCCGCCTACACACAAAAGCAGATCAAGTCGCGTGCGTTGCATGATGGGCAATGAAGTGTCCGTTGGGCGAATCCATACCTAAGGCAGACAGTTTCCCCGTAGGCTATTTTTCTGCGATGGTGTGGTGTAAGGGAAGATAATTCTGGAAAAATGCTGTTGCAGGTGTCCAACACATGTTTCATACACCATGTACAAGTAACGCTGATACAAAAGTATGCAACAAAGGAGCCACTCGATCAGCCCGCAGTCAGTCATGCGGGAGACATGCGGGCCAGGGCAGCGACCACTGACGGCGGACAGGAGCGGGGCCCAGATAGGGAACATACGACGGATGGGCTTTATTATGTGGCTTGGTTCTTAAAAGAGAGTCTCCAGTTTTAGGTATTTTGTCACATTGTTTCCAGCAGTTTCAAGCTCCCGAACTTGTTTCCGCCTAAAATGCTGCGACGTCGTATTTCTTGACAAGCAACCAGCGAAATGGAGATGCATGAAAAACCTGGCGCAATGTGAGCCATCGATCCACTTTCAAAATTCTCACCAGCCTACATCCATGCCGTATTTTGGCATCTACACTGTGGAGGCAAATGCTTCATTAATGACCCAAAATACTTACCCCCGCACGGAATTTCGTCTCCCCAGGAAAGACAATGTTAAAATGGACGATAAATCTAGGAAAGCTGGATAGCCTTATTTGCCAAATGACGGATGACTCGAATAGGCAAGATTGTGCATCAGTGATAAACAGCTCTAGATGCATAGCTAGCGTAGTAGCCGTGACATTTGAGTAAAGAGTGACAACAATCTCCATCCCTCCCCTCCCCCCTCCCCCCGGTCATCGGGCTCGCTTTCCAAAAAACAGTTCCTGAAGTACACCCTGAGCTTGGCCCCCACTTTTTGAAACGTTCCTACGCCTACGACGTTGCCCATTACCCCGGTTGTCTTCCAAATTATTGTGCACCAGGGCCTGAAATGCACAGAGCTCGGATTGAATTCGTAGCTAACACGTTTGGTTGCAGTTGCCTATGTGTCCGACTTGGCCGTTACGTTAGCTCCAGTTCCTTGCCATAAGCTGCATAGTCGAAGCTGTCAGTCCATGGAATGAGATGGTTTGCAGTGGACTGTGATCGTATGTGCGTGACCTTTGGTGAACTGTGCACCGCCCCCATCAGCGTGTCCAACACGATCGACATGTGACCTCGTCCTTGTCTTCCTGCCCAGCATGCCTGAGGCAACGTCACGTGACCGGTGACCTATGACCCCGTCCCTGCCAGCCGAACCCGCACGCCTGGGGCAACGTCACATGACCTTTATGCGATCGATGGCCCCGTCGTTGTCAGTCTGGCCCGCGCGCATCCAGCAGGACCATGTGACCCATATGTGACCTGTGACCCCGTGCCTGCCAGCCGAGCCAACACCCCGTCGGCCGAGTCGGCGTGCTCGGCGGAGGACGTGGCCGCCGCCCTGGACGCCTCCTGTCGGAAGTCGGCCGAAGTGTTGTCGAGCGCAGACAAACACTACCTGATCCAGCGCTGTTTCCGGGCCTATGACGTCATCGGCAGCGCGCGGCTCGACTCGCCGGCGCTGCGTCAGAAGCGCAAGACCTGGGTGGAGATCTGCACCGAGTACAACCGCAAATTTGGCAGGTGGGCGATCGGTGGGCACCAGTGGTCAGTTGGGCGAAGACCGGCCTTTCTCTCGCGTCCCACTGATCATTGCCGTGACAGTATCGGCTATGCTGGTCAAGATTCGATGCGGAAACGTTGGGGCTGATTCGGTGCCTTTGTTGTGGTGAAATCTGTTGCATCCCAAATTTTGTGAACCGGCTTGTTTTGGCTAATTATGATGAACCGCTTGCCTGTCTGGTTGGTGCAATATGTGGTCAAGGCGATGCAAGCGAAGAGATAGCTCAGGTGGTTTTGTGCATGGTTGGTGCAATATGTGGTCAAGGCGATGCAAGCGGAGAGATAGCTCAGGTGGTTTTGTGCAGCTTCCGTTAGTTGCTTGCCTTACGTGTTTTGAAGTCCGACTGCTGCAGATTCCGCTAGCACGCTTTATTCTGTGGGTTTGATCCCTGTACATGGCCCAGGTACTTGGCTTCATGAATCATAAGTCTGGTCTTACCGGTGTTATGCCTTACCATGTACGATTGTATTTCTTAAGAGCAGCACGAAATTGGAATTATTCGTGACTATCCAAAGTGTAGTGTAAAGTGAGGCAACTCTGCATGGGCCATGCCCCGGGGACGTGCCAGGTACAAGTTCAGTCCCTTTGAACTTTGTGAATTTGTCTTGCAACCCCTACGGGTATTGCGTGGGAGAAAGTCTTTAAATACTGTGGTGTCCTTCTCCACCGACTTTCGAGCCCCGAGAAATGCCTAAGAGTCGCTGGGTACGATTTCATCTGCTTGAAATATACAGAGTCCAGGGTCGGCTGTGCCCGAAAGCGCCGCTGTTTCGTGAGCCTGCGGCATATCCTGGCGTCACGCCTGTCCCACTGACAGCTGTTACGGCGGCCGGCAGGAGTCTGGGGGTGAGCACTGTCAAGGGCGTGTGGCGACGCTTCGTCAAACAGCGCAAGGATGACCTGATTGAAGACGCTGAAGCTGCGCAATAAGGAGGACGTAACCGAGCAGGCGCTGATGGAGGACATGAAGGCTTTCCTCACCAGCTACCGGCTGTCGGGCGAGCAGGACGACCGACAGGACTTGCCGCTCTACAAGCAGATCAAGGCAGACGTCGAGGAACGTCCTCTCACGGTGGGTCGGACTTCCCGGACCAACTTGCCGGACCGGACCGGACCGGACCGGACTTCCCGGACCAACTTGCGTGAGCAGCCGAATGATTCAGGACGCGGGCTCTCTGACCAAAGAGAGTGTTCAGCTCACACCGGAAGAGGTTTACCATGCTTTCATTTTCAGTGGGGTGATGGTGACAGTCATTGAAAGTCGCAGATGTAAGTGTTGGAAGAAGAGTGAGAGAAGCATGTTTCTACGTTTCCGTACAGACGGGCTTTCAGGACATTTGGATACAATGCTGTAGAACGTATGAGAGGGGTTTTGTCGAGGACATACTGCATGTATCGGAGTCAAACATTGCATCACCCTTTGCTGAAGACATGTTTATGGCCATCGACCTGTTTTCCAGATAAGTCACCGATCGCAGCAGATGTCGCCAGAGCAGATGCATCAACCAGCTCCTTAAGCTGGCGCAAGCCGCCACCCTCCTCTGAGAGCGGCGGACGGTGCTGCCGCTGTGGCGGCGAACGACCGGCAACTCCGGCGGAGGAGCCCGATGAAGGTCTGATGTCGGAAGAAGATGTCGAGGAGGGCAGGTAAATCGTGCCATGGTGTTGTTTTGGTGGACTTAACCGGCACCCATCTAAAGCGGTCCTCCTCAACCATGATCGATGCCGATGGATTTGTAGGAAATCAACTGGAAGTCATTGAATGAACCATCTCCTCGAATATTCACTGTTTTTGTTGAATAGTTTGCCACCTCTCTGTTGTGACCTGCGCTGTTTCCCGCTCCATGTCACCATCTGCTTTGCTTTCAGCGTGCTGGACCCGCGTGACCGTTTGTGGAGTGATTCAGCATCACGGTAGGGACCCGGAGAGTCGTCCGGCGTCAGGCGGCCCGCCGCCGGACGCCACGGGCCGTTTCGGCAGCCGGCCATACAGCCGGGCGCCGCGATGGCCGGGGGCCGGCGCCGGCAGCGCCCCTGGCGGCCAGCGCGGCAGTACGCGGCCGGCCGGCTGGCGCGCGCGAGAAGTCACCAGATCGAGCTGCTCCACATGCGCGAGCAGCACCAGAATGGCGCTGCAGCAGATGCGTGAGAAGCACCAGTGGGAGATGGAGAAGGCGCGCCTGGAGGCCGAGATCCTGGGCATGCCAGCGCGAATTACTGGCGGCTGCGGCTGGAGCGGAGCCGAGCTGGTGCTGGGCCGCCGCCTGGCCAGCTCGGCTGAGTGAGGCCACGGACCATCCTCTAGCCGAGGGGTCAGGTGGGGGGCTTCGTCGCCGGGGCCGCCGTGGAAATTTGCTGTCTGGGTTGGTCTCGGCTATCAGGATTTAGAGCGGGGCGAGGCTCTTCGTCCTTAGGGCTTGGCGCCTTTGCAGCAACTCTGGGATTTTGTAGCCGTGTGCTCGCTGATCATGCAGAACAACTGATATTATCCGCCCATCTGTCGTGTTTTCGCATTAGTATCGGTGTATCATTTCATTGAATGATGGCAGTGACATGTTTCAGTTATTTTTAACGGATGTCAGCGACAAAGGATGGCCAAAGGTCGGTTAGAGCGTTGTAACATATGCCCAGCTCCGGTATTTCCTGTGACACAGTGTTGTTTTTTATGCCGTTGAGCTGCTATTACTAAGGGAGCAAGTTCATGGATGTCATGGGTCCATAAATTTGGACAAACATGTTGCTTGACAGCTTTCCCTGCGATGCTCCGTTAGTGTCTGCAGCTTTGTAATAAACAATCGTTAAAATGCAGGTTGTTACATGGTGATTTGGTTTTCATTCTGGCTTCCGTTTGACAGGGATACCCTGATATGTGACAACGTTATAGTCTGACAACGGATGTCTGATAGCGGACATTTTTCTGCGTTACTCGCTACACGAAGTATCACTAAACGACCAGGGTGCCCTTATTAGTGGCAGGGTGACAAACAAAAGTCTCGCCCAGCAGTGAAAACCACTTTGTCAACGTTTCGGCAGTGTCGTTGCGCAACATTCGAAACCCACCGGCCTCTTCGTTTGTTGGAGAGAGGATGAACTCGTGACGAAACTCCCCGTTGAAGTGGACAGCGCGATTTTGGTGGGTTGGTTTACAGCATACGCAGCAAGCTTTGGTGTCCAGCTACTCTAGGCCTCAACCACTCATATGGGCTGGAAAAAAACAAAGCACTCACAAAGAGCATACATAACACAAATCACTCACACAAACACAAAACGCTCAACTACTCATGCGACCTAGATGTGTGAACTTCTCAATACATTTCAAAAAATGGTCGTGGTTGTGATGCCCTGCAGAAAAATATGAGTTGATGAAACCATTGACGCAATGCCAACTGATTACCAATCATGAGTATTTACTGACGTCTACCAAAATTTTGTAAACGGCGTCTGACTGCTGCCTCGTGAACACAATAGGGATGAACTGACATCTGTATAACGTAAAGTGCTGTATGACATTTCCTAAAACACTGGCATTTGCACGCACCCCCGCACGTATACGCACACGCACACACTCAACGCACACAAAATTATAACGCGCCTATTGTGAGGAGTTTAAAAACGGGCAAATACAAAAAACCTCAGACCATGGCAGCGTTGCTTTTCGAAGACATGACTCATGCATCCCGGGATGCGACAGTGCAGATGAAGGTTTGCTAAAAGTGTGCAATGCATATGCCCCCCGTTTTGCCGAGCTTGATTTTGCAAATCGGGCAGCTGAGCTGTTTGACTGTTTCTGTATTGGTTTGTTGCCTAAACAAGTGTGTTCGATATTCTCGGAGGGCTGACATGTGTCTAGCGCTGTTTTTATGAGACACGGTAGCGGTCGTCACTGTGGTGTTTGTTGTCAACGCACTTCTAATACGAAACTTTTATTCGTTTTTTAAAATTTTCATGGGCCTCAAGAGCCGCGAAAGTGCATATATCGGACTGAAAGCGTGCCTGCGAAGCATCAGCAATGTCCTACGTGCCTATGAAGCACACTGATCATCCCCAGCCGGCACAGACGGCAAACGGTTTGATCTCTCGGCCGCCGTTAAAGGCTTGGAAGCATGGACATGACCATTCCTGCGGTCAGTGGGGACTCGGACCCCAGCAGCTTTTGCGCAGAACGATCTTTGTTCTCACCGAACAACATGACAGCATAGCAGACATGGACCTCGGTGCCATTCAAGGCGTGGCTACACTTTAGACTGGTGGTATGTCACCCCCGCTCTCTGCCAACACACCTCATTGACCGTTGTCCACCGAAGAGCGCGCGCAGAAGACGGCCGTGCTGGGGTGCGAGGGTCGGTGGGGCGTGGGACGGCCGAGCGCAGTCGGTCGACACCACCAGACGCGGGCCGGTCATCCGTCGGTGCCGGCCACGCGCTGTGGCAAGGTCTCATCTATCGGCCTCACCCTCTCCCCGCGTCAGGTCTGGTGCGTCGGCCCAGGTCTGTTCTCTGTGTAAGTCTCATTCGTTGATTTCTTCCGCCCGGTCTCCTGTGTCAGGTCCTAACCGATCGATGCACGTCCTTCATGACAGGTCTGATCTACCGGTGCCGGCCTACATCCGTGCCAGACACTGTCCGTATTGGCACGCATCTTGGTCAGGTTCATTCGTCGGTCTCTCCTCGGGCCGCCCCTGTGTCAGATTGCATCTGTCTATCTCAGCCTGCCCTCTGTGCCAGAGGTTTGTCCGTCCCAGTCGGTCCTGTGTTCAGATTAAGCTGCCTGTCTCGGCCTGCCCTCTGTGCCAGAGGTTTGTCGGTCCCATTCGGTCCTGTGTCAGATTACATCTGTCTGTCTCGCGCCTGCCCTCTGTGCCAGAGGTTTGTAACGTCCCAGTCGGCCCTGTGTCAGATTACATCTGTCTGTCTCGGCCTGCCCTCTGTGCCAGAGGTTTGTCCGTCCCAGTCGGCCCTGTGTCAGATTACAGTCTGTCTGTCTCGGCCTGCCCCTCTGTGCCAGAGGTTTGTTGGTCCCAGTCGGCCCTGTGTCAGATTGCATCTGTCTGTCTCGGCCTGCCCTCTGTGACAGAGGTTTGTACGTCCCAGTCGGCCCTGTGTCAGATTACATCTGTCTGTCTCGGCCTGCCCTCTGTGACAGAGGTTTGTTGGTCCCAGTCGGTTCTGTGTCAGATTACATCTGTCTGTCTCAGCCTGCCCCCTGTGCCAGAGGTTTGTTTGGTCCCAGTCGGTCCTGTGTCAGATTACATCTGTCTGTCTCGGCCTGCCCCCTGTGCCAGAGGTTTGTTGGTCCCAGTCGGTTCTGTGTCAGATTACATCTGTCCTGTCTCGGCCTGCCCTCTGTGACAGAGGTTTGTCCGTCCCAGTCAGCCCCGTACCCGATCCAACGGCCGGTGTGGACCGCAGGCGCTGGTGCCAGGGCCTGCAGCAGGGACGGCTGTCGGCTGGAGGCAGGCTGCTGCCAGCCACAGCAACGCGTGCCGAGTCTGTGGAGCCGTTGGCGGACGTCGGACTGACCGCGCAATCCTCATCAACAGAACCTCTGAGGCGACGCGGCACCGCCTGCAAGAGTTGCAAAGCCACTGCACGATTGGCCGGCCGCTGGCAGAAGTTGGGTGGGTTATTTCCTGGCGCGCAGGGCCGGCGAATACAGCTCACCTGACCAGCAGCGAACAGAAGCAGGCAGCACTTGACGCAGCAGCGAACAGAAGCAGGCAGCACCTGAACCAGCATGAACAGAAGCAGGCAGCACCTGACCAGCAGTGAACAGAAGCAGCGGAGTGCCGGCCGTCGACAGTGCGGCAGACTCGCCAGTCCCCAGCAGGCTCGCAGCGGTACGGCGCCATGTCGGCCTGCGCCGGCAGCCTGGTCTGCCTGACTCCCAGCCCGCCCAGCCCGCCCA